ATGGCATTAATCAAGAAAATAAATCTAAAATTTTTTGTGGTCCCTAACAATATCTTGGTGGAGTTGTAACATGTTTTAGAAATTTGCTCAGATCAGGGTGGCACGTCTGGCAGTTTTGTTGGAGGGTATGAACTGGTAAGTTTGTAAAGTATATGTGAAGATTAGTGGTATTGTGTGTAACCAAGAGGGAGGAGTGATTATCGTCTCAAGGCAGGAGGTCATGATGAAAAGTTGGAGGGGTCAGTAGGAGAAGGCATCAGGGAATGGGTGGTCCTCTCCCCAGGACGTCGAGGGGTTGACTAATATCAGGCAAGTGCTTCCTGGGGAAAGTAATAATCTCCACTAATTTTTTCTTCTTTTTTTAAATTAAAACTTTGTTTTTAAAGCAGTTTTAGGTTCACAGCAAAATTCGGGGGAAAGTACAAAAAGTTCCCATATAATACCTGCTCTCCTCACCTCCCCCATCCTCTCCCATTATCAACATCCCCCACCGGAGTGGTATGCTTGTTACAACTAATAAACCAACATTGACATATCATAAACACCTAAAGTCTACAGATGACATTATGGTTCACTCTTTGGTGTACATTCTATAGATTTGGACAAATGTATAATGACATGTATCCAGTCCATCATTATGGCATCATACAGAGTATCTTCACTGTGCTAAAAATCCTCTGTGCTCTGCCTATTCTCCCGCCAACCCCCCAACTCTTGACAACCACTGATATTTTTACTGTTTCCATACTTTTGCCTTTTCCAGAATGTCATATACTTGAAATCATACAGTCTATTAATTTTTGGAATGATATAGATACTAGTAACCTCTACTAGATTGCCCTGTAGGCATGGGAGTGTAGGTGCGTATGTTTTGGCAGAGAGCAAGGAATATACCTTGATCATGGGCTAAGCAGACAGGGAATTTAGAATCATAATAGAATCCCCAATATCGAAGGAAGAAAATAAAAACTGTCCTACATTCAATTTGTGCTTTAGAAAAAGCACTCCATGGGGTTGCGAGGGCAGAAGTTTTAGTGTCAGGGTGAAGCCATCCCCAGTGGAGAGATCTTGGGCTAGAGTGATGTCATCTGAGGTGATGTCATCTCCAGCAATGAGCTCCTGGGCCAGGGTGATGTTGCTGAGGTGTGGAACTAGAATATCCTTTTCTAGTGGATACCCACTCCAGTTGATGTGGATCTCAGCGTTTGCCATGTTTACTTTTATTTACTTATGTATTTTTTAAAGATTTTACTTTTCCTTTTTCTCCCCAAGGCCAACCGGTACAGAGTTGTATATTTTTAGTTGTGGGTCCTTCTAGTTGTGGCATGTGGGATGCCGCCTCAGCATGGCTTAGATGAGTGGTGCCGTGTCTGCACCCAGGATCCGAACCGACGAAACCCTGGGCTGCCCAAGCGGAACGTGCGAACTTAACCACTCTGCCACAGGCCCAGCCCCGCATTTGCCATGTTTAGTTGAAACAATGGCTTATTTGGAGAGTTTGAGCCTCTGGATTATAAACCAGTGAAAGCAACGAGACCAATAATAAGTCCACTGTTGCCAGAATAGTGTGCAGCTGTACTTGACAGGGTTTTTGTTTTTTGATGGAAGCTTATGTTCAAATGGGTCCCTTATAAGATAAACAGTTGCCTGGTCTTTGGGACAATCAATGGTTAGTAGGTCCCAGGAGAGTATGCCCCTTCGATCTGGCTTCCAGCCCTTATGGGATGGGGCAAGATTAAAAACTTATAGATAGAGTTTAAGGCCTGGGGCAAAATAGAGAACTTTAAGGGTTTATTTGTTGGACTGGAATCTGAACAGGATTTGTTCAGGAGACCATTATGTGTCTCAGTTAATCCGGTTATCTGTACCTATAGGGGATGTGAAAGTTATATTGAATGCCTTTTGCAAGAACCCAGCGTTGTATATTCTAAGCAGTGAAATGTGTCTTGGTTACTACCAGTAAATGTCTGTAACACCAAAGGGAATAAGGAATATCCAGGCAAATCCTTGTATTGTGGTTGTAGTTATATGTAGAGATGTGTGATTTTGATTTATATTTTTAGGTAATGGTCCAATAGTTTATGATAACTATTGTACTGCCTGAAGTTTGGCCAAGAGTGTTGTTTTTTGGGGTCCCATCCTTTATTAGAAACATCATGGCTAAAGGATGGAAAACAGCAACATTCTATGAGGCTCTATCACATATGATGGTTAGTAGTGCCATCAGCATAGAATGCCATGAATTCTCATTGCTTTTCACTCAGTTGGTCCCAAGTGGCTTCCTAGGTAGTCAAGGGTCTGCAGGAGGGGTGACATCCTCCAGCACCATGGCATCTGGCAAGAGACTGAGGACATGTGAGGCCACTCCTCCTCCTGCACGTGGGATATATCAGAGGGCCCAGGTTTGGTTCCATCCTGTGTTAAGGAACAAAAACAAGCCAAATTAATCTATAGTGTTAGAAGTCAGAATGGTGCTTCCATTTGAGAGAGGAGCGGAGTAATGACTTAGATGAGGCATAATGAGTGCTTCAGGGGTATAGAAATTCGTGATAATACACTATACATTTGTAATTCTATACTTGTTTGAATGTGTACTTCAATAAAATATTTAAAAAATGAACTCAGCTATAATTTCCAAATGTTTGAAAGAGATCAGGAAAATGAACATAAAGCATAAGTAAGGGAGGAATAAAAATAAAGGCAAAATTCAGTGGAAAAAAGTAGAACTGATGAATAGTACTAAGATGTGAATTTTTTAGAAAAATTATGAAATAGATAAACTTTGGCAAAGTCTGTTTGAGCACTCCACCCGCTCCATACATCTTATGCTCTCTGATAGGATCTACGGGAGAGTGTCAGATCTCTTATTTGAGTGTTTCTAAGCTGATCCCCTGCTGGAATAGACCAGCATTTGCAATGTATTCTGAGTTTGTTTTGTGAACCATGGTACTATTCTAGTGCTTTGAATCAAAAGTTGAGTATCACTTTTTAGACAAGGCAGATGTCAGTTTTCAAGAGTTTTCTGAAATGGCAATTTTCCTAGCCTGTCATTGTCTTGCCCGGAACTAGTCTTGAGTTTGTAAAGAAACATGTTTGGGTATATGTGTGTGTGGTGGGGGAGGTAGGGGATAATATTCCTTATCCATTCATCTACTTTTTTCCATAGCACTTACCACCAACTAATATAATACAAATTTATGTGTTTATCATCTGCTTAGCCCTTTGGCATGTGAGACACCTAAGGCATGGGGCATTTTCTGTATAGTTCACTGCTCTCTGCTCAGTGCCTAGTGTATTATGTAGCAAAGAGAAGGCCCTTCATAAATATATGCATAATGAATGAAGGCATAAGCCTGTGAAAGGACTTGAAGAAAGGCAACTTGGGCTATGTGGCTTTACATTGATGATCTCCTCCTGCACGGAGATTCATTTGACACACTTATTAAGGACACTTAAGTCTGACATCTTGTAGTCCTTTTTGGGTTGTGCTGTCACCATATGCCTCATTTACAAGTTTTACTTTCAAATTAAAATCAATAGGCACTCCCATTAGTGTCCTCAGAGACTCCTTCACTGTAAAGACTTTGGAAACCTCTTCTAAAGCCGCCTGGACTCTCTGGACCACCTTTGATGGCCATTAGTTACTAGGGCTTCTGATGCTGGCATCTGTCAGAGATACCTGAATTTGATAAACCGTTTGTGTTGGGGGTCCTCAAGACCACCCTCATACTCAGCAATTCACTAGAGGGACTCACAGGATTCGTTGCTGTTAAACCCATGGTTATGGTTTATTACCACAAAAGGCTGCAGGTTAGAATCAGCAAAGGGAAAAGACACAGGAGACTAATTCCAGAACAAACCAGGCACAAGCTTCCAGGTGTCCTCTCCTAGTGCAGTCACAGGGCATTGCTTAATCCTCCTAGTAACAATGTGTAACATCACATGTAAAATGTTGCCAACCAAGGAAGCCCATCATGCATTAGTCTGGTCGGTGGGCTGCTGTAACAAAAATATCACGGATTGGGTGGCTTACAAACGACGGAAATTTCTCACAGTTCTGGAGGCTGTGAACACCAAGATCAAGGCATCAGCAGATTTGGTGTCTGGTGAGGACTCACGTTCTGATTAGTAGATGATGGTCTTCTTTCTGCATCCTCACATGGCAGAAGGGACAAGGGAGCTATCTGGGGTCTCTTTTATAAGGGTACTAATCCCTTTTGCATAAGGGACCTAATCGACTCTCAAAGGCTTCACCTCCAAATACCATCACTTTGGGGATTAGGTTTCAGTATATGAATGGGGTAGGGGCACAAACATTCAGTCTGTAGCACCTGAGCTTTGGCATCCAGGTTTTTTATTGGAGGTCAGTTACGTGGCCGTGTAGCACCTGCATGACTGACTTCAGCCCCCCAGGGTTTGAACTTACGTTGCCCAAAGTCTGAGGCATATAAAAACAGGTGGTCACTATCAATCACCTTGTTAGCTTAAACTGTGCAAACTAGTATAGTATGGTCCAGGTCCTGGGGCATACAAAAACTCTTATCCGGCAGGATATTCCATGGGCTCGGAGGTCATTTTCCACAAGACAAGCCAAAGGTGCGTCCTGAAGACAGGACTTTCTCAGGAAAGTGCCGAGTTTGAGCAACCCAGATATGCTGTGTTAATCATTTCCTGCACACCATTTCGAGATCATCTTCCAGTCATGTTGGAGAATAATAGTAACCTCAGAAGTTCAGGCTTTTGAGACAGAGTAACCCGCATTCAAACCCAGACTCACTCCTGCTTAATTGGTCATCTTGGGCCAGTTACTACTCCTGTCTGAACATAGATTGCCTCAACTGTTGAATGACATTAATAATAACTATTTTGATAATGAGCTACTACTGTTTCTGACATATAATGAGTACTCAGTAAATGACAGTTGTTATTGTTTATATTCATGTGGTTTAGCACTCTACAGTTTCTGTTGGCTTTCACATATATAACCTCATCTTCCACAGAGGCTGATAAATGATGCTTGATGGCAGATGAGTATTACCTGTTGCTTAAAGAGTGACGGTAGGAGGCAAGACTCCCAGTTACTACCTGATCAAGAGGAATTGAGATTGACCTATCCATTAAATTCAGACACTGTCTTGAAGAGACTTTGGGAACAAGAAATATTTGGGCAGATTTCACTCTCTGACTCAATGGATGCCAGACATTGATCTTTCCCCTTGTGGTAAGTCCTTGTTGATGCTCCTTTCAGAGACCCTGTGTTAACTAGCCCATGAACGGCCCGTCTTCTGATCAGGGCCTGAGCAGTCCTGCTTCTCAGCTGTCTAGGAGGGGCCTTAAGCAGATAGACTATCCTGTTGTCCAAGTCCTGGTATTTGGAAAGGAGGAGTAAGTATGTATATTTTTTTGGGAGAAGTTTTGCTTAATCATATGATGAGTTTTATCATTGTTGGCAAACAACAACTCTATCTTTCTGGACTTTGAATTTTTTTATCTGTAAAATGGGATTATTAAACTCCTCCTCCTGTTTATCAAAGTCCAGAACCCCTTTTCTTTCGTAACTTCAGATGAGAGAGGCTGCTCGGGCGTTTTATGGCAGGTGTGTGTGTGTGTCCATTTAGAATTAGTGTGGAATGGCTTTCAGGCTTGTGAGTGTGGAAACTGGGCAGCCTGGGTTCTCAGGTTTTATTTCTTCTCCACAAGGTCGTCTTTCCCAAGACTTTTTCTGTCTTCATAAGGAGAAGTCAGAAGGGGAAAAGACTGTGGCTGGATCTCTGACAAATTAGTCTCAGGTAAGTAGAAAATATATTCTTTTATTAAAGTGCATGCTTCTTCCTACCAGGTAGACAGGGTTCCTTCTAGTGGAACGGAGCTTCTTAATGTAAATAGGGCCTGCTTAGGGCCTGAGTCTCCAGTTAAATTTCCTCAGGACCTCTCACGTGGTTGACAGGTTACATAGGGAAATGGTACTGTTGTCCCAGTACAGTTGGCCCTTTGTATCTGCAGGTTCCACATCCGCAGATTCAACCAACCATGGATCAAAAATATTAAAAAAAAAAAAAGGAAACCTCCAAAAGGTTCCAAAAAGCAAAACTTGAATTTGCTGCATGCTGAGTACTATGCAGAAGCCATGCAAATGAAGTGATGTGAAGGCATACCCTGCTGTAGCCTGCTGGCATTTCACAGATCCTCAGTCTCTTCAGCACTCCTTGTTTGAGCATGCTTCACCTTGAGTCTGGCTCATTTGCTACTTGTGTTGTATGCACCCTTTGTTTCTGTGAAAAAAATGGCTCCTAAAAAGCAATTAAGTGGTAAAAGCAATCCCTCGAAGGCTAAGAGGGAGTGTTAAGTGCTCTCTCTCTATGAGAAAATAAAAATCTTAGATCTTTTGAAAAGTGTCATGGCGCTTGTTGAAGGGCTGTGAGGTCAGGAAGAAGAAACTGAGCATTTGCACAATCAAGCAGAAGGAGCTTGAATTCATGGAAGTGCTAGTGCTGCCCCTACAGTGGCAAAAATGGTCTCTCTGGTTCACGGTAAAGCACTTGCAAACACTGAGAAAGCATCGTGTGTGGCTAGAGGACATGTCACAGAAGCATATCCCTGTTGATGGCAAAACTATGAGTGGAAAAGCACTTACCCTCTATGAGCACTACTGTGAGGGGGTTGAGGAGAGCCAGAGCAAGGAGTTTAAGGCTAGCTAAGTAACGTGCTACAGCCTCAGGAATACTTTTTTCTCATCATTATTACCTAAAAACATGGTATAACGACTATTTACATATTGTATACATTGTGCTGGGTATTATAAGTAATCTAGAGATGATTTAAAGTATACAGGAGGATGTGTGTAGGTTATATGCAAATACCACGCCATTTTATGCCATTTTATATAAGGAGCTTGAGCATCTGTGGATTTTGATATCCTCGGGGAGGGAAGTGGGGGGGGGGGGGGGGTCCTGGCACCAGTCTCCCTCGGATTCCGAGGGAGGACACTATTTATTAACTCAATCCGATTCTCATCCATGTTGATCGTGTGTTGTCATTTTGCTATGATAGACAGTGAGAGAGTAGACATGCAATTCTCAGAATTTGTGCTGTCACTGGAGGAATGATTCATTCATTTACCAGCATTTATTATATCTGTAATCTGCTCAGCACTGTGTTAAATCCTATCAGTAGAGAAAAGTCAGACTAGAAGAGGTCACAGTCTGGTTGTGAGGAGGTAGATACATTCATTCAGTCGGGTGAAAGAGGTGCTCTTAAAGCTATGTAACTGGATGAAATCACCAGTGAGTATGTCCAGGTAGAGAGGAGAAGGTCAAGCCCTCGGGGAGGTGGTGGGAGAACGTGGAACCCTGTCTAGGCATTGGATCTCCCTTCTTCTTTCTCCAGTGAATATTGGTGGAGATGGCAATTTCCTGATGCCAAGATGTCTGTGATGGTTTAGGACCCAGTGAGAGAACGTGTCTGTGGAAGTCAGCCAGGAGGAGTGGACTTTGCCGGAACAAACTCAGAGAAACCTGTACAGAGATGTGATGCTGGAGAACTACAAGAATCTGGTTGCAATACGTAAGGCTGATAGCATTTCTTCATTTAGTTTTTTCAGGAACAAATATTTTTAAAGTGAATGTATCTTAGGCTCTGTGCTTATTAATCGCAATGCAGTAGTAAACAGAGCAGACATTGTTTCTGCTCTCAGGGACCTTACCATCAAGTATTTTCCTCATGAAAATGAAGATCTGTTCATTGCACTGGCTTTACTTTCTCTATGGGTAAAAGGCTTAGGACTTCAAAAATGTTTATACAAGCTTGAGCCGGGATTTCAGGGGAAAGATCAGCAACCCTTTTGGTGCCCAATGAGAGACAGAATGTGTGTTTGCACTTTAGTTTATTTGAAAGTTTTCTGGTTTATTAGAGTTGGCATGAGCATTTTGTTGTTTCTCAAATTATACCAACACTATTTGATATCCCTGAAGAGCAGAATTTTGGCCCCTTGGTTTATGGAAGTATTTGCCATCCTTGCATTTTCTTCTTACATCAGTCGTCTTTCTCTGAGAGCAGACCTGGTCTGATCTTTCAGGTGGAACAAAGAGGAGAGCTGAGGACACTGGGAAGAGTTCTGCAAAGCGAGGGAGAAGGCAGGTGTGGTTCTTTATGTGAAACAACTCTAATCCATGAAAGGTGCAGACCATTTGGAAATGTTAAATAGGAAGCTTTGAAGATCTTTTTTTTTTTTTCTAAGAATACTGAGGCCACTTGGTTTCTAAGGTTCCTTTCGTACCTCAAACTTCCCTTTTTCTTTAACTTTTCATCCACCTTCTTAAACTTCCTTTTGGCCTGGGGACAGTAAGATCTGTCCCATTTCTTCTTCAAATTTATCATTTGCATTTAGCTCTTTATCCATTTCTTTCAACTTTGTTTTCCTGGTTATACTGCTTTCTGTTCACTGTTAGTCTCAATGTTTATAGAATCATTTCTTAGTAAATCACCTAACTGTGACCACAGTACCTTATCACTGCCAAACTCTTAATACAACCAAACTTCTCAATTTCTGTTTTCATTTATTTCTTTTTTTCAATATATTTTAAGTTAATGTTTGAAAGTAAATACACATTGGCCTTCATTTTTAAAACCTTCCTTCCATCATTTATTTCTCCAAGAACTTATTTTTTTTTAATCTTATTTCAGATTGGGACACATGTCTTAATACCAAATGGTCAGAACCTCAGCAGAATATTTTGCAGGGGAAACATCCAGTGTGGTGGAAATGGTAAGATTCACAAGGTGTAATTCCTTGCCTTCCACACTAGTAGAAGATTGGAAATTCCATAAATTAGAAAAGCAGCACAATAATCATGAAAGACGTTTGAGGCTAGTGTTATTCACCCAAAAAGAAGCTGTTTCTTATAGAGTCTTGGAGAGTGAACTTGGCAAATACTTTAAATACCCTTCACAATATATTTCATCAGTGTTCACTCAGCTAAATATTCCCATATATATAATTCAGATGAAGTTTTTGATAAATAATTCTGTCTCGATCACTTACCAGCTAAACTCTGTAAGAATCCTTGTGAAATAAAGAATACAACAGAACTTTCTACAGAATTGTCACTTCATACTGCTTGAAAGCACGCAGGTCTGGTACCGTGCATTGCAGTGAAAATGGAAGAAAAAACAAAAATACTTCAGTCATACTGATTTGTTTCCTGTATAGTCTAACACAATTCAAGGCAGAGGGGAGAATCTCTGAACATAGTAAACCTAGGAAACTTTTCTCAATAATCTCTTCAACAGGAGAGAAAACACAATGGAGAGGAATCGTTTAACTTTTCCCATTGTGAAGAAGCCTTGAGTGAACGCTCATACCATAAAACTCACAGGAGTACTTACATCAGAAAGAAAACTTGTGAGTGTAATAGTGTGGCAAAGCCTTCACAAAGAACTCTGCCCTTAAACTACTTAAGAAAACCCATAGTGGAGAGGAACCTCCTAAGTGTAATCAATGTGAAACAGCCTGCAGCCAAAATCTACATCTTCTGGTTCACAAGAAAACTTATACTCAAGAGAAATCCTGTAAATGCGCTGACTGTGGAAAAGGCTTACCTTCTTCCTCACATCTTAGAGAATGTATGAGAATTCATGATGGAGATAAAACATATGCTCTTAAGAAATATGGGAAAGTTTATTCTCCTTCTATAAGCCTTTTTGTGCACATGCGAACTCACAATGTAGAAAAACCCTTTGAATGTAAGAATTTAAGAAAACCTTCACTGGGTCTTCACATCTTACTCAACATTTAAGAACTCACAGTGGACTGGTGCCTGTGGAATGTAAGAAATTTAAGAAAGCCTTCTTTATTCCCCAGATCTTGCTAAACATATAAAATTTCATACTGGAGAGAAACACTATGTTTGTAAGAAGTGTGACAAAGAGTTTACTTGTGTCTCAAAACTTAATATTCACATGCAAGTTCACACTGGAGAAAAATCATATGAGCGTAATAAATGTGAGAAAGCATTCATTGATTCTTCAGGTCTTATAAAACACAGAAGAACTCACACTGGAAAAAAGCCTTATAAATGTAAGGAATGTGGAAAAGCCTTTGCTAGTTTCTCACACCTTACTGTATATATGAGAATGCACAATGGTGAGAAGCCTTATCAATGTAAGGAATGTGAGAAAGCCTTTAGTAATTCATCTTGCTTTAATATCACCTGCAAACTCACCCTGAGTAAAACCCTGTAATTGTAAGAAGTGTGGGAAAGCCTTTATTAGATCCTCATTTCTTATTCAACATTTAAGAATTCACAGTGTAGAAAGTCCGTTTGAATGTAAGGAATGTGGGAAAGCATTTAGATATCCTTTCCGCCTTAGTCAACGTAAAACAACACATACTGGAAAGAAGCCATATAAATGTAAAACATGTGGGAAAGTCTTTACCATTTCCTCACACCTTACAGTACACATAAGAACTCACACTGATGAACCACCTTTTGAATTTAAGGAATGTGGGAAAGCCTTTACTTGATCCACATATCTTATTTGACATTTAAGAACTCACAGTGGGGATAAGCCATATATATGAGGAATGTGGGACAACCTTTAGTAATTCCTCATGCATTACCAAATGTATAAGAATTCACACTTGAGAGAAGCTTATGCTTGTAAAGAATGTGGGAAAGCCTTCAACACTTTCTCACACTTATTGAACATGTACTAATTTATACTGGAGGTAACCTTACTCTAAGGAGGTTGGAAGCCTTTAGCTCTGCCTTATACCTTAATATTCAGCTGTGATTTCACAAGTGTGAAAAATCTTACGAATGTAAAAAGTGTAGGAATTTTTATCCTCCTCTATGGGAAAGTATGAAAGCACACATTATGAGAGATCCCATGAGTGAAATGGATAAAGGAAAGCCTTTGATTGTTCTTTGTCATTAGGAAACATGATTCACACTGGAGAGAAACTGTAAATTAGAAATATACGGAATGTGGGGGCCAGCCCTGTGGCTGAGTGGTTAAGCTCGCGGACTCCACTTTAGTGGTGCAGGGTTTCGCTGGTTCAGATCCTGGGAGTGGACCTCACACTGATCATCAAGCCATGTTGAGGTGGTGTCCCACATAGCAGGACTAGAAGGACCTACAACTAGAATATACAACTATGTACTGGGGGCCTCTGGAGAGAAGAAGAAGGGAAAAGCAGAAGATTGGCAACAGATGTTAGCTCAGGTGCCAATCTTTAAAAAAAAAACAAAGAAAGAAATACAGGGAATGTGGAAAAGGCTATCTTAATTTACTGTACATGTAAAAAGTTACACGGGAGAAATTTTGTTTGAATAAAAAAATCAGAATGCTTTTAGTAAATATGTTTTTATAAAAATAAAAATCCTAAAAGGGTTTTTTTCCTTAATGAAAAAATTTGGTTATCAAAAGGGTTTTAAGGTGCCAGCCCCATGGCCTAGTGGTTAAGTTCGGCACACTCTGCTTCAGTGGCCTGGGTTCGGTTCCTGGGCACGGACCTACACCACTTGTTGATGGCCATGCTGTGTCAGCAACCCGTATACAAAACAGAGGAAGATTGGCACAGATGTTAGCTCAGGGCGAATCTTCCTCAGCAAAAAAAAAAAAGGTTTTTAAATAAAACCTAAGTGTAAGAAATTTGGGAAACTTTTGGAGTACAAATTTTCCCTTACTGCCTACAAGAAAATTGATACTGGATAAGAAAACAAAGTAAATTTTTATTTAAATATTTGCCTTTGTGTGTGTGTGTTTTTTAAGGTAGACCCATAGTTTTAAAGATTAACGATGTTGAGCATCTTTACGTGTGCTTCTCATTCATGTATTTTCAGTGAACTGTCTGTTCAAATAGCTTTTTTCTTGTTGTTAGAGTCTTTGGTTTGAGTTATTATTGAGGTTGGTTTTCTTAATGAACAGGTTTATTGAAATATAATTGCCATACAATAAACTGCACATACTTTAAGTGTACGATTTAAGTTTTGGTGCACACACATATATCCTTGAAACCATCACCAATCATTTCCCCATATACTAGCAAGGAAAAAATGGAATTTGAAATTAAAAACACAATACCATTTACATTAGCACACCAAAATATATGCAAGATCTATATGAGGAAAACTACAGAACTCTGATGAACAAAATCAAGCACTAAATAAATGGAGAGATATTCCATGTTTATGGATAGAAAGACTCAATATTGTCAAGATGTCACTTCTTCCCAACTTCATCCATAAATTCAATCAAAATCCAAGCAACTTGTTTTATGGATATTGACAAACTAACTCTTAACATTTATATGGAAAAGCAAAAGATCCAGAATAGCCAACACAGTATTGAAGGAAAAGAACAAAGTTGGAAGACTGACACTGCCTGACTTCAAGGCTTACTGTAAAGCTACATCAATCAAGACAGTGTGATATTGGTAAAAGAGTAGACAAATTGATCAGTGGAACAGAATAGAGAGCTCAGAAATAGACCCGTGTAAATATAGTCAACTGATCTTTGACAAAGGAGCAAAGGCAATGGAATGGAGTAAAGAATTCTTTTCAGCAGAGGTGCTGGAACAACTGGACATCCACATGCGAAAGAATGAATCTAGACACAGACCTTACACTCTTCACAAAAATTAACTCAAAATGCATTGTCAACCTAAGTGTAAAACACACAACTATGAAACTCCTAGAAGATAACATAGGAGAAAATCTAGATGACCTTGGGTGTGGTAATACCTTTTTAAATATAACACTGAAGGCATGATACTAAAATAAACTGGACTTTATTAAAATTAACTTCTGCTCTGCAAAAGACGTTGTCAAGAGAGTGAGAAGACAAACTACAGAAGATACTTGCAAAAAACACATCTGGTTAAAAGGCTGTTATCCAAAATAGACAAAGAACTCTTAAAACTCAATAAGATGATAAACAGCCTGAATAAGAAATGTGCCAAAGACTTTAACAGACACTTCACCAAAGAAGATATACAGATGGCAAATGAGCATATGAAAAGATGTTCCACATCATATGTCATCAAGGAAATGCAAGTGAAAACAACAATAAAGAGCTGGCCTGGTGGCATAGTGGTTAAGTTCCAGCGCTTTCTTTCGGTGCCCCAGGGTTTGCCAGTTCAGATCCTGGGCATGGACCTACACCGTGCTCATCAAACCATGCTGTCGTGGCATCCCACATAGAACTAAAAGGACTTACAACTGGGATATACAACTATGTACTGGGGTTTTGAGGAGAAAAAAAAAAGGAAGATTGGCAGCAGATGTTAGCTCAGGGCCAATCTTCCTCACACACACAAAAAAAGTGAATAGTTAAGACAGGTAGGTAGTCCTAGGCTGGGCCCTTACGGGTGAACACTCATCCATGGTTCTGTGGCTGTGATCCTGGAATGGATAATTTTTATCTCCTTCCATTTCTTTCCCCTCTCTTGGAAGTTACACAGCAAATTGTATCCATCTGATTGAATGTGCATATCATATACACTCTTGTTAGACCTCAGATAGCTCAGCATGACGCTAGTTAAGCACATGATTTTATTATTAAGCCACTTACTCTGCAGATCCCAAGATGAACCTGAAAACTCACCCATCAGCGGCCCCAGAGACCTATTACATCAGGGTGAAATCATATCAGAATAAGACTGACCTTTTTTCCTCAATCATTTTGCCTCTTAGTAATCATTATTTTTCAAATTAAGAGCCATCACAACTCAGGGAAAAGTAGAGAGAAGGACTGTTTATTTTTCCCCACTGTTTTGGCACCTGTAACAGTACAGTTGGTTTAATTTCAGGTTATCACAGTTATATATGTTGGTTTTCATGAATCTCAAGAAAATGAAAGATTTATTGCTCTCATCAGAAATAAGAGGAACAAAACTTTCACTCATGTGTCAATTGCAAAAAAAATCTTAATATTTGATAAGGAAAGATACATATTTTTTTGAAAATATACATGAGTGTGTAATGAAGCTGGAGGTTTTGATTTTAAATCCCCAGATATCCCAGATTTAGTCTGGGAATTTGTATTCAAATATGTCTCTGCTCTTAACCCATATGTGGTGCAATTTTGCCAGTTTTTGATCCAGATATAAGTGGTGAGAGGGACCTTTGTTTTTTAAAAGAAAATTCCAAAGTAGTTATTTGTAAAAACCTGAAAATGTGGCCCATATCCTAACTTGGTTAGAAGGAGCCACGTTTGTCTTTTTCCGTGTCTCAAAATAAAGGCCTTCAATTTGTCACCAGTAAGTTAGATGTTTCCCCTACGTTTTTGATATATTTTCAGATTAAAGATCTTCTCTTCCAATCCTTATTTTCCTCACTTACTAAAATTATTTTTTATAATAGCTTTATGGAGTTAAAATTCACATATGGGTCACCCATTTAAAGTGTACAATTAAGTGGATTTTAATATATTCTCCGAGTTGTATAATCATCACCACAACCTAATTTTAGAACATTTTCATAACCCCGAAAAGAAACCCGGTACCCATTAGCTGTCACTGCTCATTCCTCCCTACCTCCCAGACCTAGGCAACCACTAATCTATTTTTTGTCTTTATAGATTTATCCATTGCGAACATTTCATATAAATGGAATCATACAATATGCGGTCTTCTGTGACTGGTCTCTTTCATTTAGCATATGATTTTCAAGGTTCATCTACATTGTAGTATGTGTCAATATTTAATTCCTTTTTATGGCCAAATAATACTCCCTTGTATGGATACATCACATTTTATTTATCCACTCATTTGATGGACATTTGGGTTATTTCCACTTGTCGGCTATTATAAATAATGCTGCTGTGAACATTCACGTACAAGTTTTGTGTGTATCTATGTTTTCATTTCTCTTGGGTATATACCTAGGAGTGGAATGGCTGGTTTATATGGTAACTCTATATTTGACATTTTGATGAACTGCCAGACTGCTCCAAGGTAGCTGCACCATTGCACATTTCCACCAGGAAAATATGAGTTCCGAGTTCTCTACATCCTCACCAATACTTGTTAGTCTTTTTGATTATAACCATCAGAAAGGGTGTGAAGTGCTATGTCATTGTGGTTTTGATTTATGTTTTCCTGGTGGCTAATGATGAGCATCTTTTCATGTGTTTAATGGCCATTTATATTTCCTTTAGAAAAATATCCATTCAGATCTTTTGCCCATTTTTTGTTTTTGTTTTTGTTTTCTTTCTCCTCAAAGCCCCCCAGTACATAGTTGTATATTCTTCGTTGTGGGTCCTTCTAGTTGTGGCATGTGGGACGCCGCCTCAGCGTGGTTTGATGAGCAGTGCCATGTCCGTGCCCAGGATTCGAACCAACGAAACACTGGGCCACCTGCAGCGGAGCGCGTGAACCCAACCACTCGGCCACGGGGCCAGCCCCTCTTTTGCCCATTTTTTGAGTTGTCTTTTTTTTTATAGAGTTGCTAAGGCTGTTAAGTCATGATGCGATGTTGGCTTTTATCAAACACTTTTACTGTATCATTGAGATGATTATACTGTTTTCTCCTTTGATCTATCAATGAAACAAATTATATTAATGGATTTTCTAATAAACCCCTTTTGCATTCCTGGGATAAATCCAACTTGGTTCTGATGTGTTATCTTTCTCGTTTATTGATGTATTTGGTTTAGAATTATTTTCCTTGGAATATTTGTATCTATGTTTATAAATGATATTTACCTATCATTTTGTTTTCTTATAATGGCTTGTCGTGTTTGATATCAATATTGTCAGTCTCAAAGAACATTCCTCTTCACTTTATACTCTTAAACAAAGATAAGTCAAACTGTTACATGAAATTGTTTTAAAAGTGGCCATGTCCATCTGCCCGCATCCCTCCCCCAAGGTAATGTAATAGACTAATCAAAATGCAAACGTGGCGTTTTGGATCATGCCCAATTCTGGAGTTCTTACATGCAGGCTAAATTAAATAAAACCTTCCAAATATCTAACTCTTGCCTTATAGATTTGATAAGTCATTACCCCTACTAATGGTTAGTAATATGGAGACATGTGACCAAATATGTTGAAGTATAGTTTAAGTTACCAGAATCTTCGTATGTCTAATCCCTAAAGACTTTGAGTCAGATTGGACTGTTCTCTTCTTTGAAAGGCAGCACTGACCTATAAAACCTCTGGGCCTGGTGTTTTCTTTGTGGGAGTAATTTAAATACCTAGTTCTTTATTCTGCTACTGCTTTTGTTTTTGGGTGTTCTTTTTAAGGAATCTGTCCAGGCAGTGAGTTATCAGGGCTGGGGAGACCTGGAGCCTCACTGAAGGGATCAGCAACAGCCCAGATTATTTCATTTTTTTAATACATTTTTTATTGTGGTAAAATGTATATAATATAAAATTTGCCTTTAAAACCTTCTTTTTTTTAAAACGTTTTTTGGTGAGGAAGATTGTCCCTGAGCTAACATCTGTTGCCAACCCTCCTCTTTTTGCTTGAGGAAGGTTGTCCCTGAGCTAACATCTGTGCCAGTCTTCCTCCACTTTGTATGTGGGATGCCACCACAACATGGCCTGCAGAGTGGTGTGTAGGTCCGAGCCCAGGATCTAAACCTGTGAATCCTAGCCCTCTGAAACAGAGTGCGCAAATTCAACCACTATGCCGCCAGGCCAGCCCCCATAACCATTTTTAAACGTAAAATTCAGTGGCATTAATTAAATTCACAATATCATGCAACCATCACCTTCCAGTTCATATTTGCAATTATTTAATACTATTCAGTTATTTCTATCAAGTCATTTTTGGTAAATTTTATTTCTCTAGTATCCTATTGTGTGTGAGTTTTGAGCTTGATTGGCATAAAGTTGTTCATAATGTTTAGTTATGAACATAATTAAACACATAATGTTTAATCATATGTTAAACTCTGCAGCATCTGTAATTGTGTTCTCTTTTGCTTTTTCATTTTCTTTATAGGCCTCCCTTTTTTTCTTGAATAATCTTGCTTTTTTCCTATTTTATTTGTTTTCAGAGAGCCAATTTTTTTACTTGATTGGTCCTCTCTGTTATTTGTTTTCTAGTTCATATTCATACCATATTCTTTTTTTCCCTCAACTTTTCTTCATGTATTTTGAGAATTTTTTCTCCATCCTCTTAGTTGGAAACTTAGATTAATTTTTAACTTCATTTCTTTTCTAATGTAAGCATTTAAAGCTTACTTTTTTTCCTAAGACCCACTTTAGCTACAACCTACAAGTTTTGGTACCTAGAACTAATCATAAGTGTGATTTTTTCCTAAACTCCAAATATATGACTTTTTTCTATTAGAACGAACCATATGAAGCTGCTAACATTCAACCATTTTTTTAACTTGCTAAAATGCTAGTTTCATGTGATTCAACATAATACTTTTCTTCTGTTATTACTATATAAGTTAATTACATTTTTCTCAGAGAAAATACTTGTATACAAATTCTTTGAAAGGTTTAAGACTACCTTTGTAGAATAACAGTAGGGCTAGTTTTTGCAAACATTCCACATGTGATTGAAAAGAATATGTGTATTCTCCCTTTCTTGAGCATAGTATCTGTAAGTGTTTTAGATTAAGCTTGTTCATTTTATTATTCAAATCTTCATGCCCTCTTTTTTTCTTCTGATCTGTTCATTACTGAGAGAAGTGTGTTAAAATCTCTTTCACTTGTCTATTTCCACTTTAATTCTGTTAGCGTCTGTTATAAAATTTATGAGACTACGTTACTCATATAACCAACTTCAGAATCTTTATAAGTTCCTGGTTAATTGAATCTTGTACCCTGATGTAGTCACCTTTTGCAGTGCCTTTTGTCTTAAAATGTATGAAGTGAAGTTAGCCAAACAAACTGTTTTGGTTAATATAGCCTGGCAGGTGCGTTGTTTTCATATTTGAGATTCGGACTTTCAGTGTTATTTTGATGTTTAGTGCATCTTATGAAGGAGCTTCGAGCTGGAGTTTGTCTTCATCTACCGTGGCAGTCTCTGGTTTTCAACTGTAGAGCTTAGGCCACTTACTTGTACATTTATTGTGATTATTGAAATAGACGTTCTCTACCATTTCACATGTGCTTTTTATTTTACTACTTTTTTTGGTTTCTTTTCCCTCCTTATTTTTCTTACCTTTGGAATAATTGAGGGGTTTTTTTTCTCATTCTATTTTTTCTTCTAGATTGTGAGTTAAACCTTCTATGTTCATTTCTTCAGCTGTTACCCTAGCTATGTTATCATGCATACTTGGTCTAAAGCTAATCAATATCTTTATTCTCTACTGGAAGAATACAAGGAACATAAAACTGTAATTACCTCCCTCCCAATTTGTATATTTTTATTATTCAGTATTAGAATTCTAGCTTGCTTTTCCATCTCACAAATTAGATATTATTATTACTATTTTATATAATCAAGGCTCATTAGTTTTACCCATTTTATTTTTGTTCACTCTACTTTCTTAACATTTCAGGTGTTCAAATTCCTATTTCCTGGAATCCTAGAATTTACTTTAGGGATGATCCTTTGATGGGTAAGCTCTCTCATATCTTTATTTTAAAATGTCTTTATTTTACCCTCCCTCTTTTAAACTTCTAAGCTTTTCATCTGAAAATTTTCCAGCATACACAAAACTAGAGAGAAGAGTATAGTGAATCCTCATGTCGTTGACACTCAGCTTTGACAATTATCAATATTTTACCAATCTTGGATCACCTAGGCCTGAGCTGTGTAATCCACTAGCCACGTGTGGTATTTAAATTGCTTAAATAACACTAGCCTCACTTCAAGTGCCCAATAGCCAAATGTGACTGGTGGCTACCATATTAGATAATAGTGTTGGACAGTGCTTGTAACCTATCTACCTGCTCTTCCTTATTTCTGGAGGGTTTTTTTTTTTTTTTTACAGCAAATTCCAGACGTGCTTTCATCGGTAAATACTTAAGTATACATCTTGAGCTGATACACAACCATCACAGCATTTTACCCCCTGGCAAACTCCGAAGTTCCCTGATCGTCTCCAGAATATCTTTTTACAGTTGGTTTGTTCAAATCAGGATCCTATCGGGGTCCCCACATTGCTTTTTGAATATATCTCTCTTAAGTTTCTGTTTTCTCTCCTTCTCCTCCTTTTGTCTTTTTTTTGTTTTTTACCCATTGACTTATTGGACATATCAAGTCATTTGTCCTTAAAATGTCCTACATTATGGATTTGGCTGTTTCTTTGTGTTGTTTAACTGCTTTATCTCTCTATCTCCTATTAAAAGTAGTTAGTCTAGAAGCTTGAATAGATTGAGGTTTGATTTTTTTAAATTCTCCCTTAAACCTAAAGGAGATATTTTAACTGGATTTAGAATTCTAGGTTGATAGTTACTTTCTTCTCAGTACACTGAGCATATTGTCCTGCTTTCTTCTGACATTCATTGTTGTTCTTAAGAAGTGAGCCATCAGTTTGTTTTTCCTTTTTAGGTGACCTCTTTTTCCCCTGGCTGCTTTTAAGATCGTGTATGGAAAATTTCTTTGTTTTCTTTAAAACTTTGAATTATGGATTTTCAAATATACTCAGGAGAAGAGGGTACTATGATGAAGCCTCGGTGTACCCATCATCCAACTTCAATGATTACCAGTATTTTTGCCTTCTTAATATGTCTCTTCTTCCCCAGCTTACTATTGTAGTTAAGTTTTGTTTTCCTAGAGCATTTTAAAACAAATACCAGACATCATATCATTTCACCCATAATTTGAGAGGTATCTCTAAAACAAAAGGGTATTATGAGGATACAACCAGCTTAAGCCAGTTAGGGGCTGAAAAAGGAAGGGAAAACTCTTACAGATCCCTTAAAAAGAATAAACTTTTAACCCAAGTTTTTAGCATTTTCACAATACCGTTCTCACACCCCCCAAATTAATCATAGTTCTTGGTATTGTCAGTGGTCTTTGGCTAAACATGTTGGGACACACCTGTAGTTAAACAGATCGGGTTTATTCTGCTGGCAGGAAGGCAGAACACGTAACATGGTGAACTGTGGGATGTCTCGGTAAGAGAGTGTTAGACTTAAAGGATTTGGGCTTGTGTTAGGAGCTTTTGGGGGAGGGTTCCAAATTAGATGTTGTCAGGAAGTGAGGGTAATTCTATGAGTGCATATCTTAGTAAAGCTACCTAGAAGGAGGAAACACTAGGCCGGAGTAAAGCTGTCATTGATAAAGAAGAAGCAATTGCTCATATTAGCCAGAAGAGAGGGATGTTTGGTCACTTTTGAGGCCCAGATGATGTTTATGATTTGTCTGTGTTCAGACGTCATTACAGAGCGGCCTTGTCTTTGTTGATAACTCATGGTCCCAGAGTGGCCTTGTCTGCTGTTGCTGTTCTGTGAAATTGTTTATGTTCAGCAGGAGAACACCCAGACCTAGCTGATGGTTCCCAGGCAGCTCCTAGATGTCGGGGGCTGCTTTTCTCTTTACCAATATCATCTAATACCCAGTCTGTGTTCAGTTCACCCCAAATACCTCAAAATGTGTTTTTACCCTTGGTGTTGTTCGAATCAATATCCAGGGTCCACACATTCAGTGGATTGTTATGTCTCTTAAGTCTCTTAGTCAGTAACGTTCTCCTTCCACTTTCTCCTCCAAATTGGGTTTGGCTGATTGTAACCTCATGATGTCATTTAACATATCCCTCAGTCTCTCCTCTTCCTCTTCTCAAATAAACTGCTAATTAGTTGAAAAGATTTGTCAGGGTTTTTTTTTTTTTGGCAAAATTATAGTTGGTGCTGTTTCTTGTTACATCATATCAGAACTCACGTGCTGTCCAGATGCCTCTTTTGTGATAAGAGTAATCAGTTGGTTCTGATGTCAGCTTGACCCTTCCTTTATAAAGTTCTCCAGCTTACTTATAGAGTCTTAAGTTATCCCCTAACTAATAAGATTCCTTCTTAATTACAAAAGGAGAAAAGGGTAACTTAATGGAAAAACCTGTTGCATGCCACCTTAACCAGGTGATCAAAGTTATCACCAGTAATGAGACAAACTGGTGACATATGCCTCCTTAAATTATGCCCTGAGAAGGACCTGCATCGATTAATGTAATGCTTCATCCGAAAATGAACTTTCTGAATCTAATCATAAGAAAACATCAGACAAACCAAAACCAAGCTACAGACTGAAACATTCGTCCTGCACTCTTCATATCTTGAAAGATAAAGGAAGGCTGAGGGACTGGTCCAGATGAAAAGAGATTAAAGAAAGATGGTTTGAGGGCATGCTCTGGATGGGAAATTTCAAAAGTGATTGCTATTGTGGACACCTGGATTTGGCCACCCCAAGATATGTCGCTTTGGCATGAGGACTATTTGAGGCTGGTTTCTTTGCAGACAGGAAAGCAACTAAAAAGTAGAACTAAATCTCTATCTGTAAAGGTGCTTCCCTCTCTGTACCAGGAGAAAAAAAGGAGATGACCTTCTTTCTAGAAACTCTTAATCAGTGCCAAAGGCAAGGACTTAAATCTGCATTTTATTGTGCTTGTCTTTTAACCTCCTGTAACTGACTTCCCTCCCCCTCTCATTTCTTTAAGGATTAAGCATCTTTCCTTAGGCTAGGAATTGATTGCTGCTCTCACCTGTGACCACCCAGCTCAAGACAATAGACTTGCCTCCTGCTACGCCCACCGAGATAGCAGACCCACTATCTGCTGTGTCCATCAAGCACTGTGCTGACAGGGCAATCTTGTGACTATTGTGGGAGGGACATTTCAATCATATGTGAAATATCCTGTTTGGGGGTATATAACCACTCTGTGCACCCCACTTCTTCGGTGCCCTTTCTTCCTTCAGGAAGAAAGGACCCGGGCGATGGTCCTCATAAAGCTTTGTTTAATTTTCTCTTGCTATTCTGTCTCATGTGAATTTAATTTGTTCTCCTGCCAGATGAACCCACATTGGATAGAGGAAATGTCTTCCTCCCCTACACTATAAAGGACATGATTGGGCCAGTTGGTGAAATTCTGCATGTGGACTGTGTGTTAGGTAATAATATTAAATCCATGTTAAATGTTCCTGGTTTTGATTGTTGTGGTTGTGATAGAAAATGTCCAACTTCCTATGACACTGAAATATGTAGGAGGAAAGAGTCATGACATCTGCAGTTTCCTCTCAAACGAATTTCTGTCAGTATCATTCTTGCTAAAGCTCACACATGCACGCACACACATCCACAGCCCCCTACGAAGAGAGGAGAGAGAAAGCAAATGTGACAGAACTTTAACGGTTGGAGAAGAGTCTATGTGAAGAGTATATGGAAGTTCATCATATTTACACTATTCTTACTTATTTGAGTTTGAAATTTTTTCAAGGTTAAAAGTTGGAAAGAAACATCCCCACTCTTTACCTAATATTTTAGTAGCCATTGATTGTCATTGCCTAGATCGTTAATTCACTAGTGGTTGTACAATGGTGACTTTCTAATTCTAGCATTGTCTTCATAATAAATGGAGCTTCTAATAAGGCTTCTATGATTCTTCAGTAGGATAAAGGATAAGCTTTCCTTTATCATAACTATTTGGTAATCATAAAATATTGTTGATAAAGGAGAGGAGGGGATACATGCTTGATTCTTTCTTATTATGAATTTCGAAATAATGAATTAATATCCTGCCCACCTCCAACAGTGACCATTGAAGGATTTTTTAGGTACCATTATGGACTCATGATTTTTTTTTACATTTGCTATATTTCAGTTGACTCTAGTCATTATTCTTTATTAAGTTGTTCCACCTGAAGCCAGACTTAAAAGGAGCCATTTTAAGTTGTCTCCCATATCTTTTTGATGCAACCCAATTAGTCTTTGAAAGGCTCCTTGCTTTCCGAGTATAGGATGTTCCAGGCTCATCTTGAACGTTTCTTGGTCTACTCTATACTCAGCTATTTCCCAGATGAGTCCTGGTTTCTTTCACAGGTAAATGGCACTTAGAGGCATTTTGGCACTAGAAGCCTCATTGCTCTTTAAGTTGTTAAGGACTCCAGGCATTTTTGGTGGTTCAGTCTAGGAAAAAGGTTACAAAGAAAAGATAAGTACATACTATATTCCCAATTCCTAATTGTTCTTGGGTAGGGAGATAAAATCTTAAGAGTGAACTGTACCGTGTGTTTGCACATGCGTGTATGTGGTTACTCTGAAGCTCGTATGCAGAAGCTTCCAAGCCTCTGAGTGTATCTGTCAGTCCTAGGCTCTCACAGCTTCTTTCTTCTGCTCTAGCTCTGCTTGCTCAGGACCCTGCCTGGCCAGGAGAGAGACACACCAGAGGAACTATGGCTGCAGGATTGCTGAGAACCTGGTCACAGGTATGGGAGAAATTATTCTGTTTCCAAAAATACATCACTGTTCCCAAAGAACACATCTCTCTCTTTTTTTTTCTGCTGAGGAAGATTCGCCCTGAGCTAACATCTCTTCCAAATCTGCCTCTTTTTTTGCTTGAGGAAGATTAGGCCTGAGCTAATATCTGTGCCAGTCTGTCTTTATTTTGTATGTGGGTCACCAACTCAGCATGGCTGAGAAGTAGTTTAGGTCCACGCCCTGGATCTGAACCTGCAAACCCGGGCCACTGAAGCGGAGCACACTGAACTTAACCACTATGCCATGGGGCTGGCCCTCCAAAGGACATATCCCTTGCCTGTGACCCACAGCGTCACAGCCCAACTAGGCCAGCCTCAGGCTTCCCTAGTTCTCTGGTTTTCTTAGAATGGGAGAGAGAATGCCTTAGGAAAGCCTTCTATTCCTACAGTATTTGTTAATTTTTTTCATATAATTTTTTTCATATATTCTTCCACGGTAAGCGTTGGTTCCATATTCTGCTCGGTGCTATGAAGAAAAGAAAGATTTTTCACTAGGAAAACCATTTCATCCATTTTCCAAGTATTTTTCTTATCCTGCAATGTGCTCAGTCTGTATTGGATCTTGAATAAGACTGGAAGAGTCCTCACAACCTACTTGTGGAAATATCAGGCCAACTGTGTGTTAGAAAAGCTGCTAAAACCACAGGCCTGAATGAGATGGTCCAGGGAGTGAGAGCAAAAGAAGAGAGTTCCAAGAACTGAACCTTGGGTCAGATAATGAGAGACCTCTGAGGCATGTCTGAGCTTCCTAGGCATTGGTCTCCCTCCCCAGTCCTGTCGGCCTCACCCACCGTCCTCCCAGGTCAGCATTAGAGCTGGTCCTTGGCTGAGCCAGAATGTGTGTGTGATGTTTTAGGACTCGGTGACCTTTGAGGAAGTGGCAGTGGACTTCTCCCAGGAGGAGTGGGCATTGCTGGATCCTGCTCAGAAAATCCTGTACAGAGATGTAATGCTGGAGAACTTTAGGAACCTGGCTTCAGTGGGTAAGGTTGGGCTCATTCCTTTATTTATACATTTGTGCATGCACTAAACAGTTTTTCATCACATGTAGTGTTCCAGGATCTCTGTAAAGAATGGCAGTATGTGGTAAACCCAAAATGGATGGTCCCTGCCTTTGTGGGGCAGTCTCATGGCTTCCCATGAAAATGTGCTGATTTCATTTTCTCTTTCATTAAAAGATTTAGGTAATTTGCAGCATGTCTGTGATCTTGGGCATGGATTTCAAGGGTCAGTTCCATGCGGGATGTGGAGTGTGGGGGTTTGTTCTGAGGCCCTTGTGAAAGAGCTCTGATCTGATTGCTTTGCTGCTCCTAAAGTTGTACTTGCCTGTCTTCAGAATCCTTTAAGATGAAAGTATTAGACTCAGTTTTGTGGAAGGATTTCTAGTCTCCTACAGTCATGTGTCTTTCCCATGAGCAGGGTATCATCTCTGCAAACACAATCTGATCACTGAAGTGGAGCAGGAAGAACTGAGGCCAGAGGAGAGAGGAATTCTCCAAGGTGCCTGTACAGGTGAGCCCTCGGCAGAAAGGGGTCACTGTGTGGAGCAGCCATAGCCAGTGAGGGGAAGTACATTTGGGACTGTCAATCAGTGAAGGAAAAGAATTCTGAGGCCACTACCTGAGCTTTCCTTCTTTTACCATCTCCCCATTCATTCATACTTTCATTTGGTCTCAGAGAAAAAAACCGTGTTAATTCCTCTTTCAAATTCACATTTCCTTGAATACTTTTCGTTTACTTCTCCCTACTTTGCTTTCCAGATAATACCCTCTCTTATTGTCTCAAGCCTCCAGAATCCTTTCTATGTAAAATACCTCCCATTTCCATTTTTTTGTTCCTGTCATTGGCATCTCTTCCCAGAGCGTAGTGCCTAAAATAATTTCTCTGGTCACTGGTTGGATCTTTCACATTTTCTTCCTATATTTAGTGTTATTATTTGAAAACAGATCCATAGGATGCCTGCCTCCTTTTTTCTTTCGTCTACTTTTTCTCCCAATAGTGATAAAAATTCTCCCTATTCAGTTTCAGACTGGGATACTCAACTGAGATCCGAAGATGCAATTCCTATGCAGAATGTTCCTGGGGAAAAAACTTCCAGTGGCAGAAAAATGGTAAGATTCACTAGGAATGATTGCTAATTTTTTACAGTAGGAGAGGTCTGTGAATTTCTATGAGTTAAAATGGCAGCAGCACTGAAACAAGGGGAGACAGTTGAGGCAAGTAGACTTCATTCACCAGAAAGCTGTCTCAGGAATGACTTTAGGAGTCTCGTAAAATTGAAGGAATCTCCAAACCTACCTCAACACTTGCTGCCTCACAGAGAATATCAAAAAGTAAACATTCACTTAAATGTGATTCCATTATTAAATATTATTAAATATTTAATACATAACTCATTCATTCTTCACTCATTAGAAAGGATGCCCTTTGATGGGAATGAATATGACAGAGCCTCGGGAAGAGCATTCGGCTTATTCAACTTGAAAGAACTAGTAGGGCAAAAATCGTACACTCTCTCTAAAAATGGTAAAAATGTCAGTCATAATAATATGCTTTCTCTATATGGTAGAATCCACATGGAAAAGAATCCCCATAAGTGTAACGAAAGTAAGAAAGCCTTTAGTCACCACTTATTCCTTATTCAACAGGCACCAACTCATTCTGGCCGGAAACCCTTAGAATTTGATCGTTGTGGAAAATTCTTCAGAAGGAACTGTCACCTTATTTGTGCAAGATATTGCAAGGGAGAGAAATGCTACAAATGTAAAGAATATGGGAAAGACTTCAGCCATCCCTCAACCCGTAGAAGTCATGTGAATACTCACACTGGAGAAAAAACTCTTGTATTTAATGATTGTGGAAAAGCTTTCAATCAAGAGTCATCCCTTAGGAAATGCTTAAGAGCTCTCACAAAAGAGAAATCTTATGAGTGTTATCAATGTCTTATATCCTTCAGCTTACACTCTTCCTCTTCAGTACATGACCAAATACCTACAGGAGAGAAACTCTGTGAATGCAGTGTCTATGGGAAAAGATCTTCTCTCAGTGTCCACCAAAAACTATATACTGTGGAGGAAAGCTTAAAATTTAATGAACATGAGAAAGTTTTCACTGGCCCCTTGTCCCTTCAGAAATATGTGAAACCTCACCCTGGAGAGAAACCTTACGAATGTAGTGACTGTGGGAAGGCCTTCATTTTTCAGTCTTCCCTTAAGAAACACGTTAGATCACACACTGGAGAGAAACCTTACGCATGTTATCATTGTGGAAAATCCTTCAGCCAGAGCTCTCATCTTAATGTGCACAAAAGAACTCACACTGGAGAGAAACCCTATGACTGTAAGGAATGTGGCAAGGCTTTCACTGTTCCTTCCTCCCTTCAGAAACATATGAGAACCCACACTGGAGAGAAACCCTACGAATGCAGTGACTGTGGGAAAGCCTTCATTGATCAGTCATCCCTTAAGAAACATACACGGTCTCACACTGGAGAGAAACCTTATGAGTGCAATCAGTGTGGAAAATCCTTCAGCACAGGCTCTTATCTCATTGTACACAAGAGAACTCACACTGGAGAGAAAACCTATGAGTGTAAAGAATGTGGGAAGGCCTTTAGGAATTCCTCTTGCCTAAGGGTCCATGTGAGAACTCACACAGGTGAGAAGCCCTATAAATGTACTCAGTGTGGAAAAGCATTCAGCACCAGCACTAACCTTATAATGCACAAGCGAATACATACTGGGCAGAAACTCTATGAATGAAATGACCGTGGAGTAGCCTTAAGTGGTCCTTCACACCTCACTTCTCATTTTAGAACTCACACTGGAGACAAACCTACATTGTGATCAATGTAGAAAGCCTTTAGGTACATCTCTTGATTCACCTTATACCAGGACCAACCTTATAAATGTTATAGTTCTGTGATTATCATTATCAGTGAGTGTTTCATCCTTAAAGTGTGACAGCGTATTAACTGATGAGTGTTAAAGGTTACGTAGCACTCTAAATTCTCCTTGATCTACATCACAAAAGTTTTGATGTATAATGTTTTCATTGTAATTTAGTATTAAACATTGTCCGATCCTCATCAAGATGTCTTGGACTTATAGGTTATTTAGAAGTTTATTTTTTAATGTGCAGACTGTATCATATTTTAGTTATCTTTTTGTCCTAGATTTCTAACTTCATTGAATTATGCACAGAATGCACGATCTTCATGATAGAGATTCTAAACAATATAGATTCAAACAGAAAATTGTTGGAGACTTGCTGTGTGGCCTAATGTGTGAGACACTACACATTGCCATCCCAATGTCCAGTTTTCCCTTCCTTCCTTAAAGTAACAAAACTACAATTTTGTTCACATTGGCAGGGTGGACAATTTTGTAAGGACTCAGCTCCAGCTTTCCTTGCAGCTCTGACTGCCCATAAGCCCATCGTTCTGTCCAATGAGCAATAGGCAAAGGTCACTGCTTGTTGGTTCTAAAGAAGCCCATGGAAATGGGAGCATCTCATTTGGCATTTTCTCTTTACCCTTTGCCTTGTCTCTTCTTTCCTAGAAAATAGACCAAGAGGATGACAGTCATAGGCTACTGATTATACGAGAGGGACATACAATATTATTTGGCTGTGCCAGCCTTGGGTTGCTTATTTCTGGACTTCGTGGAACATGAGAAAAATAAACTCCTACCTGGTTTAAACTACTCTTGTGGGAAGATTCTGTTACAGTGGATGTCAGTCTCAACTGATACATCTCATATGTGGTCAGGTTTTATGAATCCTTCAACTATGGTTGGAAGCAATGTATATTCTGTAATTGTTGGGTATAATAGATTCTCTCTTCTTGTGTTTTTTAGATCTGTATCATTACAGACCTTACCTCGTCATCTGTCCTTTATTGAGACAGTTGTGTCAAAATGCCCCACTATGACTGTGGATAGTCAGATTATTTTTTAAATTCTTCTCTCTTGTTTCATTTCAAGGCAATATAACTGGATGCATACAAGTGTAGTCATTTTATATGTTTCTGTTAAATTGTCATTACATTCTTATATAGTGCCTACCCTTTTTCCCTAATAATGAATGTTCATTAATTCATTTGATATAAATGTGAGCTATTGACCTAATTGATAGTATTTTCTCCCTACCAATTTGTAAAGACAATCAGAAACATCTTCCCTTGGCACTATGTAAATTATGATGTTCCTTGCCACACCAAGAGGGATATCCTCGGTGTGACATCCCCTGTGGGAGACAGAGAGATCAGGAAGTCCCCAGCAAAGACACCAGCAGCCCTTGCTTCTCTCTTGTTCCTTGCTTTGCTTCTGTCACGACTTGCTCACCAACCTAGTGGGATAAGAGGGATATGCTCAATGGAGACTGGTGGCTCAGTGTTTAATGAAAAAGGAAAAGGGGTGGGACAATTTGTTCTTGCTCCTGCTAAGAATCCTCAGGAGGTTTCTCAACTCAAATTGGTTTGTAAATCTCCCAGTGAATGTGCTTGGGCTGTCTTCAGTGCCACTGCCTATCAACGTGTAAGAGCATCTTCCTAAAAACTCAATTATTACAAAATTGGGATTCCCCCATGTTGCTTACTTGGATGTAGACTCCAGTGCTTCTGAGGTTGATAGGGACAGTCTAGAAAGGGAGGCCCCCTGCTGTGAGCAGGGGCCACTCAGGACCACCAGGACCTTGTCAGGCAAATACCTAAAGGAAAAAGCGGGGAAAGACGAGAAACCGACAATAAAACAACAAAAAAGAAGTAGTATAAAGGCCTGGGCTTTACGTGGCTACAGCAATTCCCCCCTTCCAAAAAAAGGGAACTTTAAATTCTATGTACCGAGTAACTGTCAGGTCTAGCAAACACAATGCTAGTCTTACTGATTTAAAAACAACAATGAAAAATAAACCCCTACATACAGGGGAGAAAATAAAAGGTAAATAAGTAAAATTTTTTATAGATTTGTTTTAATTGAGATTCATAATAGTTTACATCATTGTGAAATTTCAGTTGTACATTATTTCTTGTCTGTCACCACATAAGTGCTCCCCTTCACCCCCTATGCCCACCCTCCGCCCCCCCTTCCCCTGGTAACCACTGAACTATTTCGTTTGTCCATGTGTTTTTTTATATTCCACATATGAGTGAAATCATATGGTGTTTGTCTTTCTCAGTCTGGCTTATTTTGCTTAGCATAATACCCTCCAGGTCCATCCATGTTGTTGCAAATGGGATGATTTTGTCTTTTTTATGGCTGAGTAGTATTCCATTTTATATATATATATATATATATATATATATATATATATATATATATATATATATGGCACATCTTCTTTATCCAATCATCAGTCAGTGGGCGCTTGGATTGTTTCCATGTCTTGGCTATTGTGAATAGCACTGCAACAAACATAGGGGTACATATGTTATTTTGGATTGTTGATTTCAAGTTGTTTGGGTAGACACCCAGTAGTGGGATAGCTGGGTCATATGGTAGTTCTATTTTTAGTTTTTTGAGGAATCTCCATAGTGTTTTCCCACAGTGGCTGCACCAGTTTGCATCCCCACCAGCAGTGTATGAGCATTCCCTTTTCTCCACATCCTCTCCAACATTTGTTGTTTTTGGTCTTGGTAATTACAGCCAGTCTGACTGGTGTAAGGTGATACCTCATTGTAGTTTTGATTTGCATTTCCCTAATGATTAGTGAGTAAATAAGTAAATTAAATACATAAATGTAATATTTAATATTTGATGTATGTAAATAAATTATAAATATATATACACACAAATAGAACTAAATCAAAGATCCATAATTCAAACAACTGAAAAACCAAAATTTATATATTAAAACTTATATACTAAAACTTACATAACAAGTTGTATATAATTATCATATATGTAATAAATATGTGACAAAATTTATATACAGTCGTGTGCCACATAATGACATTTCAGTCAACAATGGACTGCATATACAGTGGTGGTCCCATAAGATTAGTACCATATACCCTAGGTATGTAAGTCTGGCATTTTTTAATTTTCTTGATAAAATGTGATTTCATGGACGCTTAGTTAAAATAAATAATATGGCCCAATGTATGTTGAAACTGGGCCTTCAACACTTAAAACTTATTATATAAACATAATAATGTACTGCTTCTCCGCATAATAATTCAATTTTGCCTGTTCTAAAAACTGAAAATAAACAACTATTTCCATGCCTTGGGATTAGCTGAGTAAACAGCAATGACAGTTCCTGGACTATGCCAACTGTGATCACTGCTAACCATCATCTGTGATGAAGCACAGTCGAATGTTACTGCTTTCCGTCTCTTACGTTACACCACATACAAAAATTAATGGATAAAAGACCAACCATAAGAGCTAAAACTACAAAATTCCTAGAAGAAAAACATAGGGGGAAAACTTCATGAAATTGGATTTGGCAATAGTTTCTTAGATGTGATACCAAAAGCAATTGCAACCAAAGAAAAAAATAGATAAATTGGACTTTACCAAAATTAAGGCCTTTTGTACGTCAAAGGTCAATCAACTTAAATACTTTTGTACTCCAAAGGACACATCAAGAAAGTAAAAGACAACCCATGGAATGGGATAAAATATTTGCAATTCATATATGGGAATAGGAGTTTGTATATAGAATGTATAAATAACATAGTATATCCATAGAATGGAATATTCAGCAATAAAAATGAATGATATACACTACCACGGGAAACATGATTACCAGAGAAACTTTAGCTCTATTCCTGAATAAGTTAAGAATGCCCAGGATCAGTGCTATTTCAAAAAGAAATAAAAATTAAAAAAAAGAAATACATACTAGAAGAGGAAAAAAATAAAACATTTGCAGAAAATGTCATTACAGTGAAAACCCAGAGGAATCCGTTTTAGAGTTCGGAGTTTACCATTGTGTGTATTTCAAATAAAAGCCTAAAGACAGGATTGATTAGAGGAGACAGATCACTTCCTGGACTGGCAGGATTATCAAAACGGGAGAATCACTCACTCTAAGGGCTTTAGGAACGAGGGGAGAAGAGGGAGAAAACCTTTTGATGTGCTCGCTGGTGGCTGGGTCTCCACCCTCAGCCTCGCCCTTCAGGCTTGATCGTGCACCGTCCAAACGCGCGCTGGGTCTCATCCCACCTCCAGCCCCGCCCTCAGGGATCGGCCGCGCCCTCCGTCGTAGCTCCAGCCACAGGGCTGGTTCGAGATTCATCCACGGCCCTGGGCCTGATTCGGGCCCCAGGCCTGGCGCCCAGCTGGTCCGAAGCCCATGCGCGCTCACGCAGGAGGAAATCAGAACTTCTCTGAAGTGGTCCCACGTGGTCCCGCGCTCCATCGCCTGAGCCCCGCCCCCCGGCAAGAAGCGGAAGTGACGTCACAATTAGGCACAGTTTTTGCCGCTGCGCGCGGGGCAAGTCTTAAAGCGGTTCATGTTGGTCGTCGTCCGGCCCGGATCGGCTTAGGCGAGGCCGGCGTGAAGTAGGGGGAGCGGGCGGAAGAGGGAGTCACGGGACGGGTTTGGCCGGCCGCCCGGGGCCTGCTTAGAGGGGCCTGGTGCGTGCTGCTCGCTTCCGTCGTTCTCCACGAGGAGCCGGATCTGCAGTGGGGTGAGGGCGCTTCTGTGGGGTGGTGTCATCCTCTGTGCTCCTCCCTCCAAGGCTCCACAGCAGCCTTGTGACTTTTCTCCGTGAGGAAGAGGATTTCCGCCTTTCAGATGGGTTGACTCCGGCCCGTAGGAAATCAGATGAAGAGAGAGGTGAGTATTGTTTCTCTTTAGTAGACAGATTTACGGTCTAAATATGCTAACATTTCTGTACAGAAATATGCACACCATAGGCATCTAAAAAAGTACATCATATTTCTACCTGAACATAATGTATCAAAAATAAATAAAGACAAATACTCAGATCAAGTACACAAAACTTCAAAACATGGGCCTCAGAAAAACGGATGTAGGCTTTTTTTCCTCCTAGTTCTGGAATAATTGAACTTCCGGTAAACAGGCTGTTTGCACTAAGTATAGTTTTTCCCACATTTTCTGTTTGAAAAATCTTAAACGTAAATAAAGTGTGAACATCCAGTACAGTGACTGTCCTTTGAAGTAGGTTCACCCATTTTTAGCATTTTGCATGTTTCCTCTCTCTAGACTAATATCCATTTTTTCGTGAATTGAGAAAGTAAGTTGAAAGTAAGTTGCAGACATGATACTTGACCTTTAAATACTTGGCGATGCATCTCCTAAAGATAAACACATTGTGTTTAGAAAACCACGATACCATTATTTTCCAAAAAATGTACAAAATAATGTCAGTTACTACCTACTCTGTGTGAAAAGTAAAATTCTCCACATTGTTCCAAATATGCCTTTGGGTGTGTTTGGATCTAGGATGCAGTCAGGGTTTATATATGGCAAATTTTTATGTCTTTTAGTCTTTTAACCTAGAGCATTGGCTGTTGTTTCTCCATTATATTGACTTTTCGAAGAGTAATACATTCTTTTATATAGTCACACATTTTTATATTTCTTTTTCTTCAGATATAATTGACATAGAACATTACATTAGTTTCAGGTATACAGCATAATGAGTCAATATTTGTATATTTTCTGAAATGATCACTACACATACAATTTTTTTCCCTTGTGGTGGGAACTTCTAAGATCTGCTTTCTTAGCAGCTTTCAAATATACAATACAGTGTTATTAACTATAGTCACTGCTGTACATTACATGTACCCAGGACTTATTTATCTTATAACTGGGAGTTGGTACCTTTTGACCACTTTTACTCATTTCTCCCACCCCCCCCCACCCCGTTTCTGACATTCACTCAACTGTTTATCCAAGAGTTTCAGTCTTTTGTTTGAGTTCCATGTATAAGTGAAATCATATGGTATTTCTCTTTCTCTGACTTATTTCACATAGCATAATACCCTCAAGGTCCATCCATGTTATTGCAAATGGCAAGATTTCCTTCTTTTTCATGGCTGAATAATATATCATTGTGTATATATACCACATTTTCTTTATCCATTCATCCATCAGATGTGAGTTGATATTCATTGTGGTTTTGATTTGCATTTTTCTTATGATGAGTAGTGTTGAGCACCTTTTCATGTACCTGTTGGCCATCTGTATGTCTTCTTTGGACAAATGCTTATGCAGATCCTCTGCCCGTTTTTTAATCAGATTGTTTACTTTGTTGCTATTGAGTTGTATGAACTCTTTATATATTTTGGATATTAACCTCTTAGCAGATATATGATTTTCAGAAATTTTCTCCCATTCTGTAAGTTGCCTTTTCATTTTGTTCATAATTTCCTTTCCGGTGCAGAAGTTTTTTACTTTGATGTAGTCCCACTTCCAAAAAATCATCTCCAAGACCAAAGTCAAAGAGCTTTACTACCTTTGTTTTCTTCTAGGAGTTTTGTGGTTTCAGGTCTTACATTCAAGTTTTTAATCCATTTGTTTATGGTGTAAGATAGTGGTCCAGTTTTATTCTTTTGCATGTAGTTGTCCAGTTTTACCAACGCTATTTATTGAAGAGACTGTCCTTTCCCCATTGTATATTCTTGGCTCCTTTGTCGTAAATTAATTGACCATATATGTGTGGGTTTATTTCTGGGCTCTCTGTTACGTTCCGTTGATCTGTTCATCTGTTTTTGTACCAGTACCATCCTGTTTTGACTACTATAGCTTTGTAATATGGTTTAAATCAGGCAGCATGATGCCTCCAGCTTTGTTCTGGTCTAGAGGCTTCAAAAGATCATTTACAAAACACTTTTTAGGTGATGTTGTATACCTCAAGTTGCATTTCATTGGGAAGACATAGACTTAGATTGTCCTTCAATTAATGATGCCATAGTTGATTGATGAAGGTAGTGATCGCCAGAGACCTCTATTTTACAGGTAGACTTTTCCTTTTGAATAAGAGAGTCATATGTGGGGTGGTATTTTGACACTCATAGTATCTCGTTCCCCCGCAACCTTTCTATCAATTGTTCAAGCGTCTCTGAGTAACCAGCAGTGATCTTCTGTATATGTTGTTTCACATTTTTAGAAGTGCATTTCCAGGGCAGGATTTTAAGGTTGGTCAAAGGACAAGTACATATTTAATTTTTCTGGATATATAAATCCCTTCTGTAAAAATCTTGTGCCATTTGGTAGTTTCTGAATCAACTTCAAAACATGTTGAAAAATCATTCTGGAAAAACACAAGGAACATATCTGAGTTTTAACTGCAAGACACTTGTTTTCAAAATGAATGCTGGTCCACTTTCTTCCTGAGTAAGAATACTCAAATACATTTCAGAAGTACAGTGTTTAGGCTTATATTGTGTTGTTCACAGACATTTTATGTGCTTCCTGTTTAATTTTTGTGTTGTAGTTCTATTTTTTGTGACTTCAGTTTGTGCTTATCCTCCACTGTAACATTTTCGTGGTGAATGGCATTCCTCTGACAATCCACAGATGATCATTGTCATACTCTGATGAGTTATGTGGTGTGCCAAGGACAGGGAAACAATGGCCATCAAAACAGAGATAGTACTGCCACCATGAGGCTTACAGTCTATTTAGGAAGACAGATTTTAGGTGAATACTGGACATATAATGACTTAACATGTGGGGAGAAGATATATTGGGAGGGGTTGTTATCTGGACAGAATAATGGCTTAATAGGAGGGGAGAAGATATATTGGAAAGGGTTGCTTTTTCAGTTGAGAATGAAAGGATGGATATGATTTAGCTAGTCAGGTCGTTGAGCAAGAATGGGGAGGTATAGAGTGAATGAAAACATTGCAGACGAAGAGAACTTCATGAGCAAAATACAAGAGCAGTTGAGAGCTTTAGTGTGTTTCCTAAGCTGAGGAAAGAGAGTTGGCTGAAGCAGAGCAGAACCAGAGAATGATGGGAGGTAAATTGGAGAGCGGGGATGGGACCAAGGGAATTACATACTTTGAACTGTACTCTAAGGCCATGGGAAACTTAAGAAATATTTTAAGAAAGGGAGTAATTTGAATCTACTTACAACTTGAATAGAATTCACAAACTCCTAGTTTGAGAATGGCCTTAAAGAAATGTGAATGTGAAGGTGTGGAGTCAGCATAGAAGATGATGTTGACTAAGTTTTAAAACATAATAGTGGCAACCTACAACTGGATGATTATTATGGGAAAAAAAGTAAATGAAATGACTTGAGAGTTTTATAGAAGGTAAAATTGAGAGAATTTTAATTACTAGATGAAGTTATTCATCTGTTGATTTACTAGAAGACATATAACTAAGGATATAGAGCTTCAACTCTACTCCTCCAGGTGGTACTAGCTTACTATGCAGAGTCATCTGTAAACTAGACTCTTGTCTCAGTCACCTGAGTGTAAGGACCGCCACAGAAAGGTATACACGTGGACTGGAGGTAGTGCAACTGCAGTTGGTGTTGGAAGAACCTTTGCAAGCTGCCATACAGCTTACTTGTACTCACTGTAGTTGCCAGAACTTGATCTCTTAGGAGCCCTTAGAAGCTTTCACGTTGCCTGGTTTCTTCTATTTTGTGTTGTAAGCTATTTTTGCCTGCCTTAATTTTATGTTTTATACCTGTTCCCTTGGATTTTGTATTAGTTGTGAGTCTAGAGGCAACAGCAGATGTTTGTGGTGGGTCTTGAGAATGAGCATTGCTTATAAGGCATCTACTCCAAGTGAAATTATGATGGAGTTCTCAAGCAGAGGAGGACTAGGCTCATCAGAAAGCAAATGGCAAGCTACCTACTTCATGGTAAAGGAGAGTCAGAGTGTCTTGGGTGTTCAAGATTTTGAGTTTCATCTGGGTCCAATTAGATGTCCCCATTTCACGTTCCTACTCATTATTCCCTGATCACTGCCCTCAATTTCACATTAACAACTTCATGAGACTGAATTTTACTGTGGTTGAACAATTTTGTGTTTGATTTTCAGCAGTATCTTCCCCCTGTGACCACAAGAAGTGAGTTTTTAAGAGCTGTCATGGAATCTCTCTGGTCACAGACTTTGATTTGAGCGCCGAGATCGCAGATCTGAGCTTGCCATTTTCTAGGCAACTACACTGAAAAGAACCCAGCCCTCATCACAACCATTATAATCATCGTTATTGCTGTAATTGTTAATCGTAGCATTCACTGGTTCTCCCAAGGCAAGTGCTTCAGTTGGCACTGTATCACAATCAGCCATAGGTAATAGCTTGGCTATTGTAACTCTGTGAATGTCTTTCCCATTGGCAAGGAACTCAGCTCTTTGCTGAAGTTCAAAGGCTTGACCAATCCTATCCCAAAATCTTCTCTTTACTCGTTTGTCTCCAGGGATCACTGTCTTTCTCAAGTCTGTGTACGTCTACATGAAATCAAGATACAGAAATCATACTTTGATTTAAACAGGAGAAGTGTAATATAAAGAGAATTATAACAGATAACCTAGAGTTGATGGACAGTACCTAAGGCAGACCAAAGTTTTAGGGCAGCCCTCTCCCCAAGACTTGACTTCAGATCTTGTTGGAGAAGGTGTCATGGCAGTCCATTGGATGGTGAAGAAGTTTGCTAGGTTGCCAGGGCCAGAGCTAGTCAACAGTCAGAGGGCAAGCAGGAAGGAACCTTCTGGAATGCAGACAAGACATGACTGGTGGATACATGTGGAATAAGTTGGGGTGACACTACGTGTGCAAGACCTAGAGTGCTAAGTATCCATATAAGGAGGCCGTGGGAATCAACTGAGTGGTGTGCAGAGAAGCCGAGGCTGGTGGATGAGTGCTCGGAAGATGACAGTGTTCCTCCCACCCTTACATTCTTAAGGTAGTTAAATACATTTCTGAAAACTGAGATGTACATTGTCTTGTGAACGATTATTTACCTATAATCTATATACACTTGAAGAGCAGTGCAAAGGTTCTCCATTGTCCTTTAAATTGTTCATTTTAAGTTCTCTGGATAAATACCCAGAAGTGGGATCACTGGATCTTATGCTATTTGTATTTTTAATTTTTTGAGAAATCTCCACACTGTCTTGCATAGTGGCTGCACCAGTTTGCATTTGCACCAGCAGTGTGTGAGGGTTCCGTTTTCTCCACATCGTCTCCAACATTTGATGTTTTTTGTCTTGGTAGTTATAGCCATTCTAATAGGAGTATAGTGACTTCTCATTGTCATTTTGATTTGCATTTCCCTAATGATTAGCGATGAACATCCTTTCATGTGTCTGTTGGCCATCTGGATATCTTCTTTGGAAAAATGTCTGTTCATCTCCTCTGCCCATTTTTTGATCAGATGGTTTTTTTGTTATTGAGTTGTATGAGCTCTATATATTTTGGAGATTAACTCCTTGTTAGATATATAATTTGCAAATATTTTTTACCAGTTGGTGCGTTCTCTTTTCATTTTCTTCCTCGTTTCCTTTGCCTTGCAGAAGCTCTTTAGCCTGATGTAGTCCCATTTGTTTATTTTTTTCTTTTGTTTCCCTTGCCCAAATAGACATAGTATTCAAAAAGGTGCCACTAAGACCAATGTCAAATAGTATACTGTCTTTATTTTCCTCCAAGAGTTTTATGGTTTCAGGTCTTACCTTCAAGTCTTTGATCCATTTTGAGTTAGTTTTTGTGTCTGGCGAAAGATAATCTTCTCCTTTCAGTCTTTTTCGTGTGGCTGTCTGGTTTTTGCAGAACCATTTATTGAGGAGACTTTCCTTTCTCCGTTGTATGTTCTTGGCTCCTTCGTCGAAGATTAGCTGTCCATAGATGTGTGGTTTTTTGTTTTTGTTTTTGTTCTTTTTTGAGGAAGATTAGCCCTGGGCTAACATCTGCTGCCAATCCTCCTCTTTTTGCTGAGGAAGACTGGCCCTGAGCTAACATCCGTGCCCATCTTCCTCTACTTTGTATGTGGGATGCCTACCACAGCATGGCTTGCCAAGCAGTGCCATATCCGCACCCCGGATCTGCACCCAGGATCTGGACCGAAGCGGAACATGCGAACTTAACCACTGCGCCACTGGGCCGGCTCCTGGATGTGTGGCTTTGTCTGTGGGCTTTTATTCCTGTTCCATTGATCTCTGTGTCTGTTTTTGTACCAGTACCGTGATGTTTGGGTTACTATAGCTTTGTGATATATTTTGAATTCAGGGATTGTGATGCCTCCAACTTTGTTCTTTTTCTCAAGAGTGCTTTGGCTATTCAAGATCTTTTGTTGTTCCATGTACATTTTAGGATTCTTTATTCTATTTCCATGAAGAATGTCATTGGGATTCTGGTTGGGATTGCATTGAATCTGTAGATTGCTTTAGGTAATATGGACTTTTTAACTATGTTTATCCTTCCAATCCATGAGTATAGAATGTCTTTGCATTTCTTTATATCTTCAGTTTCTTTCAATAATGTCTTATAGTTTTCAGTGTATAGGTCTTTCACCTCCTTGGTTAAATTTATTCCCTAGATAATATATTCTTTTTGTTGTGATTGTAAATGGGATTGTATTCTTGAGTTCTCTTTCTGTTGTTCATTATTAAAGTAGAGAAATGCAAGTGATTTTGTAAGTTGATTTTGTATGCTGCAGTTTTGCTGTAGTTGTTGTTTACTACTACTAAACTATTAGTAGTTTTCTGATGGATTCTTTAGGGCTTTTTATATATAAAATCTTGTTATCTGCAAACAGCGAGAGAAGTGTATTCTACAAAATGGCATGCTCCATCCACCAAACAGACGTGTTTCCTTCTAGATTGACCTGTCTCCAGAGCTTCTTAAAGAAATGTAGCTACTCAAGGATGGAATTCCTGTTGAATTTCCTCACAAAATGGTGCTTCCTATTGGTGATGGATTACTGTCAATAATCTGAGTATTTCCATTATTAGTACCAATATTGACTCTGATGAGAGTGGCTGCATAATTTTTATATTAGTTAATGCAGTGACAGATAGTAAGGAAGATAAGAGTGTGCATTTCTCCAAAGAATTTATTTATTCACCAGCACTTACAAGTGTCTGCGATTTCTCAGGAGCGTCTTGCAAGAGGGAAATAAGATGAGCTTTTAGTCTAGTTGTGGTGAGAGAAGTTCAAGTGTTCCAGGTTCCATTAAAGGTATAACTGAAGGATATAAATGGTGAATGAATTTAGATAGAAGAGTACCTAGGACCATTGCACCCTGGCGGAGATGATGAGAGACCTTGAAACTCTCTATTGCAGTTACATCTCCCATCTTCATTCCCCAGTGAATTTTGGTGGAGATGTCACTTTACTGAAGCCAGCTTATGTATGATGGTTTAGGGTTCTGTGACCTTTGATGAGACATGGCTGTGGACTTTAGTGGACCTTGCTCAGAAAAACCTATACAGAGATGTGATGCTGGAGACCTACAAGAACCTGACCACAGTAGGTAAGGCTGCCATCCTTCCTGTAGCCTCTTATGATATAGGTAAATATTACGTACTTACTATGTTTCTGGATGGGTGATGTGAAATCTGAATACAATGGGAAATAAGAGATACATAGTCTCTGCCCTATTGGGTTTTAATTCAGCATAGTTGCTATAAAAATGTGATTGTATGACTAACAACCTCACCCTCGCTCTGTTAGAAATGTGCATTCTCAGATTCCACTTTGACATAGTGAATGAAACTCTGGCACTGGGGCCTCAGTCATCTGTGTTTTAAGAAACACTGGACAGGATTCTTTCTGATGGACACCGGAGTTTGACAGCCACTGGTGTATGATTTCTCCATGAGAATGAAAATGTCTTTTTTGTACTTTATTTCCTCTTTCAATGAAAGTCTTGGTGTTTTGTAAACATATATATGTCTACCTCTAAAGGGAATTTCAGGGGCCAGAGATCAACGGTCTATTTGGGACACAGAAGGGGGGTTTTTGCATTTTTATCTCATTTGAAATAATTTTACAATATTCATTAGAAATATAAGACCTGGGGACCAGCTCCATGGCCAAGTGGTTAAATTCGCGCACTCCGCTGCGGCGGCCCAGGGTTCAGATCCTGGGCACAGACATGGCATCACTCGTCAGGCCACGTTGAGGTGGCATCCCACATCCCACAGCTAGAAGGACCTGCAACTAAGATATGCAACTGTGTATGGGGCGGGGTTGGGGAGATAAAGCAGAAAAAAAAAAGAAATATAAGACCTGATACTTCCAAGTGTTTATCATGTTTTACAAGAGCCTTGTCCATTAATATATCTTTCCTCCTGGACAGGGTATCAACTGTTCAAACCCAATCTGATCTCTTGGTTGGAACAAGAAGAAGAGTTGAGGACAGTGAAGAAAGGAATCCTCCAAGGTGAGTCATGGTGAAGAACTTCTCTGGTTAATGAATATTTCACCATGTTTGGAATAGTAATGAGGAAACTGTTTAAGATGTTCTTTTTCTCAGATGGCTGAGGTCATTGGTCTCTGAATCTTTGGGACATCTTCAGCTTCACATAAGTTCTTTCTGTACATTTACTCAGAATTTCCTGTGATTTCACCAAATGACTTATTCTGGTTTGGGCGGATTTTTTTGTTTGTGGGGAGGAAGATTGGCCCTGAGCTAATATCCATTGCCAGTCTTACTCTTTTGCTTGAGGAAGATTTGCCCTCAGCTAACATCTGTGCCAGTCTTCCTCTATTTTTTAGGTGGCATGCCACCACAGAACTCTCAGCTGCTGAAGCAGAGAGTGTGAACTTAACCATTGCACAGGCCCCTGGTTGTTTTTTTTTAAGTTTATCTTTTTAATGTATGCTTTTAGTCCAGAGCTTGCTTGCTTGATTTCTCTGATAATATTGTGTCTCTTTTCCAAACATTTTTAATTTTCATAGAATCATTTTTTAATCAACTACTCAATTTTACCTCCATATCTTTATCATCGTTAAATTGTTGACCTAGTCAAACAACTCAATCTGTCATGGTTTTTCTCTTTTCACCACGGTTAATTTGTAAATAATACAAATGAGTCTTTTTGTTTTTAATTCCTTTAACCTACCATTTCTTTTTGCAAACTTTTGCATTTGTTGATCTCTTTTACTTTAGAATGGAAAATGCAACTTAAAACCAAAGAGTCCACAGTTTCTCCACAGGATATTTTAGTGGGAAAAAACATCCAATAGGATAGAAATGGTAAGATCAGTAAGTTTGAAAAGAAATATTTCTTTTCCACATTCAGGAAAGGCTAGGAATTTCATTCGATAGAAGATCGGCACAAATGATAGATATTTGAGATAAGTGGCATTCTCCTGAGAGAGCAATGTCTCTGGCGAGATATTGTGAATCTGGTGAATTTGGGGAAAACCTAAGTTGAAACTTATTGATTGATAATTTGCACAAGTACTCATTCCTGCATATGTAACTAAACATTGGGTTTTTAAAACTTTTCCATGGAACTGTGCAGCAGTCTTTTATGATCAGAATTGATCGCACATCATTTGGGCAGGAGTTTATCATTCAACTTGAAAGAAATCAACAGAGTAGTAACTTGTATGAATGTAATGAAAATGGTAAACATCAAATCACCATTGTAATGATGTGTTAATTTTTAGATGGATAAGATCAATTAATGATTCTGAGAAGTCTTTTAATCCTCGTTCATCAACAGGAAAGAAGCCACAATGGATGTGAACTCTGTGATTGTAAGGAATGTGGAAAACACGTCAGTGAACATTCATGCTTCAAGACACCCAGGAGAACTCAAAATGGAAAGAACACTTATGTGGGTAGTCAGTATGGAAAAAACTTCCTTACTCTGCACAAGAAAACCTCTACTGGAGAGAAACTTTCTGTGTTCAATCAGTCTGGAAAAACTGTCAGCCTGACTCCAAATATTGTGTCCTGGAAAACTAGCATGCAAGGGAAAGGCTTTGAATGCAGTGACAGTCAGAAAGCCTTTGTTAATCAGTCTTCCTTTCAGGCACAAATGAGAAGTCACAATAGAGAAAAACTGATAAGTATGGAAGGAATGTGAGACAGCTTTTATATACTCCACAAGCCTTGGTTTATGTGTACAAACTCACACTGCTAAGAAAGATTACATATGTAAGGAGTGTGGGAAAGCCTACACTACGTGCTCAAGCCTTACTAGACATATAAAAACTCATATTGGAGAGAAGCCTTTTGAATGTAATATGTGTGGGAAAGCATTTGCTACTTCTTCATACTTTACCATTCACTTGTGTTCTCACACTGGAGAGAAACCTTGTGAGTGTAGGAAATGCAGGAAAGCCTTCACTTTTAAGTCAAATTTAAGCCAACATGTAAGAATTCATACTGGAGAGAAACTCTATAAATGCAATGAATGTTGGAAAGCCTTCATTAGGCGTTCAGACTTAACTAGACATAAACAAATTCACTCTGGAGAGAAATCCTATGAATGCAACAAATGTGGGAAAACCTTCAATATATATTCAGACTTAACTGAACATAAACGAATTCACACTGGAGAGAAACCCTATGAATGCAACAATTGTGGGAAAGCCTTTATTAGGCATTCTCTCTTAACATAAATGGATTCACACTGGAGAGAAACCCTATGAATGTATGAAATGTGGGAAAACCTTCAGTGTTTCCTCAAACCTAACTGCACTTGCAAGAATTCACGCTGGAGAGAAACCCCATAAATGTAAGCAGTGTGGGAAAGCCTATACTTTTTTGACAAGCCTAAGGAGACATCTAAGTATTCATGCTGGAGAGAAACCTTTGAATGTAGTGAGTGTGGGAAATTCTTTACTCCTTCCTCATATCTGAGTACACATTTGAGAAGTCACACTGGAGAGAAGCCGTTTGAGTCTAAGGTATGTGGAAAAGCATATTTATATGCCTCAACATTTTGCATCCATTTGTGAACTTACACTGGAGAGAAACCCTGTGAATGTAAGCACTGCAGAAAAGCCTTCGCTATTTCCTCAAGACTAAGCAAATGTAAGAATTCACACTGGAGAGAAACCCTATCAGTGTAAGGAATGTGGGAAAGACTTCACTTGGTCCTTGATCCTTAGTAAACATGTAGGAACTCACAATGGAGAGAAGCCCTGTGAATGTGAGAATGTGGAAAAGCCTACAAGTGTCCATATTTGCTTTGAATACATGAAAGAACACTAATTAGATGCCTCAGGAACTTAAGCAATGTGGCAAAGCAATCAGAATCTGCTACTATACAGCATGTAAGAATTCATGCTGAAGCCATTAAATGTAAGAAACATGTAGTGCTCTAGCGTATAGGGTGGATCTATAGATGTGTTTTGAACATGTGCCATTCTGCCCTGATCACTTTTGGGAATGGTATAGCAATCCCCTGATAGCAATGCTAAACCAGCAGAGTTTCTACATCTTCCATGTTGCAGCCTGGCCAAAAGTGTGACTGCCAGATTCAGAGTTACCTGGATTCTGTTGTTGTATTGTCCTGGTCTAAGATGGTGAGCGTAGTGACTGCTTCAATCAGTTCACTACTCACAGAGTCCATCTACAGTGCCTCATGCCACCCAAGGTGGGGGATATAATATGTCTCTGTAAATTATCTGGGAATGTTTTTGTTCCTTTCTCACACCTGCTCCTTTTGGATAAAAGGTCAGGGTCAAGCAAGGGAAGAGTTTAGAAAAAGTGAGGTTTTACCTACTATTGGGAGACACCCTGATTTCATACCTGGGTGGGAAAACAACCACCTTAGCACCTGGCGGGGGGGGGGGGGGGTTTAACCTTAAGTTGTGCACAAAGAGGGTGAGAACAATGAACGTTCTTTCATCTTTGTATCTAGCACCACAGCATGGCGTAACAATTGTGTTATCTTTCCAGCTCAAAGAAGAGCTGCTGCTAGTGATATGACCTGCTTCTGTGTTTGTCATTCCATCCATACGCTGTGAAAATGGAGAAACTCGTGCAAATATGGCTAGTCCTGATACTCTGCTGTGTATGATGCCATCACTGACATTTCCTGATTGTGAATCTTGGTCACAGACACAGACCAGCACAACCTCATTGCAGCATCAGTGATACAAATTCATATAGTTCTGATGCTTGAGCAGCTGTGGGTTACATCATGGATGTCCATTAATGCTGCAGCTGCTTCCTGAGAATTTCTTGAGGCTTAATCAAACCATTGTAATGATAGTCCAAATCAAGCTTAGCAAATCCTGAACAGGAAGTATCTGTGCGCCTTCTATCTTGCTCCTACTCGTCTTTTTGAATATGCAACAATACCTTGACCACTCTTCCCCGTGGCCATTTCTTTGGGCTGGGGGGCGGGGAGGGGGGACATTGGTGAGAAAGATTGATCCTGAGCCAACATCTGTTGCCAATTTTCCTCTTTTTGCCTGAGGAAGATTGTCTCTAAGCTAACATCTGTGCCCCTTGGCCATTTCTTGCAAGTGTTTGCAGTGAGGAACACAATTGTAGGGAGATCATCTCTCCCATTGAGATGAAGAGGAGACTTGCTTACTACCTGAAGTAAACTAGGTTCCACAACCTCAGCCTTCCTCTTCTGTAACACAGCCCAGTGTGCAGACATCCATATGGCCCTTTGTGTCTGAGAGACATGCTGCCGAAGAAATGAAAACACGAACACAGGTTGCTGTGTAGTCTCTCGAGTTCCTCGAGCTCTTTATTCTTATAGCCCCTAAACAAAGCCACCCTTTTGCCAAAGCAGCGAGTCAGCGACCTAAGCCTGTGCAAGCATCCCACAATAATGACCTTTCCCCTACCCATCTGTTCATAGGTTCCTTCATAATGTTTCAAACTCCCAAGGTCCCAGGCTTGCTCCTTTTGAGGAGCTGATAAAACATTCTTGTTTGCAAGCAATGTTTTCCCTGGGGCCTTGTGAGTTCACCAGGCAGAACATTCTGTTTGCAGAAAAGTCCAGCCAGTCTTGTGGATGCCTCGCGTGCAAGAACAACCACATTTCAAGCCAGGTCTCCTTCAGAGACATAGGGACAAAGGTGACCAGTATGAACATGCTGATGTTCATGCGTTGGCTGTTCATGAGTTAAATATCTGTCTCTGACTTCAGTGTCTCGGGTCCTCTGCCAACATTCATGAAATAGTGAACAGTTAATACCTTGGAAGAAGGGAGTGATCAAACTACAGGTCCAACAGTTTTGGTGATGAGAATGGCATGTTGATAGAGACGTGACTTTCTGGAAGAACAATAGTGCCAGGCTGGGTATGAAGACATAAGGGTATCTGCAACCCAGTCATGAAATCTCCTCCCCCAGAGGTTTCCGCTTGATATGGACGAGCAGGGTGGGAAATGGATCCCCAGTGTCCTACTTCGTAATGAAGCTCGTCAACAAGTACGTCAATAACTATATCAGTTTTCCTTACTTTCTTAGTCTACTGTACCCTTAATTTTTAAATGTCTTATACATACTTAATGTGGAATTTTAAAATATCTAGGTATCTGAAATTGTCTTTAAAATCCTTTTTTTTTTTGACCTGGAACATTGTCCATAATGTAATTACTAATAAATTTGGATTTATGTCTAGCTTGTAATTTTGTTTTCAGTATTTAACTTGTTTTTCTTCCCTCTCTGCTCTTATTTTTTTCATGTAAATGAATTTACTCTTGATGGTTGAAATTTATGTAATCCATAATTTATGCAATCCAGTTATTTTAGTTGCTACCCTAAAATCCATTAAGGTTTTTCATTTAATTCTGAATTAACACCTTTTCTCTCCTACAAAGTGTACTGGGACTTATGAATCCACTAACGGCTATTATTCAGCCTCTGAGCAGCACACTGGCAGAGAGACTTAGAAATAAGTCCATAGTCAGAGGAGCCTCTAAGCAGGTCCAGGTGCAAGATGAGCAGGTCCCGGACCCTGAGAGGTGGGAGAGCTTCCCCTTCTTGTGAGAGGCTATGTGACAGGGACACATATGCCCCTGTGGAGAAGTGCTCAGTGTCATCGAACACTTAACAGAATGTGCTATCTTATGATGAAAATTGGCCACTTCCTTAAGGGGACACACAGATGGAGATTGCATGATTGCCCTGCTGAGGACAAAACTTAGTAATGACGGTCGGGACAGCTGCTGTTATTCTTCAGCTTTGCCTGGATCATACCGGCTTCACATTAGCCTTTTATATCCCTGAAGAATTTTCTCCTGATGGGCTCCCTCAGTCCCCAGTGGTGCCGTCTATTGGGTTTCCCATTGGCATTGTTCCCTGGTCTTTTGGGGGCCACTGCAGTGACTGCAGCTCTGGTCATTTCTTCTCTCATTGCCCAGACTTATGTTCCTCCCAGCTTTTCTCCCTCCTTGATTCCTCTGCTACTTCTCACATAAAGGGTGTGCATCCTGGGGAGAGGGATATCACCAAAGAAGTGATTGTCTCTGAGCAGTGTGTCTGTCCACAGGATAGAACAGCAGAAAAGTGTCCCTTTAATACAAGAGCCTTGAGGTGAGCCTGAATGTTCTTTAAAAGTGAGGATCAGCCTGCATTTGTGTTCAGAGAAAGAGGAGATATTTCATTTCGATCTTTGGGCTTCTGAGCCAGTTAACTTCTCACCCATTGGAACATACCACCTTTCACCATAACCCCTTCGTGGGAAATGGAATTGCTTCCATCAGCGAGATCAGTTTCATCATTCTTTCCTCAAGGTGACAGAAAAGGTAACGCGACAGTTGGGGGCTTTACTTCTGCCTCAGTATTGCACGTCTTTCCTCTAGAGCAAATCCCAGAGTTGTTGGTCAAAAAATGTGTTTAGGTGCCCATTCCCTTCATGAATATTGGTCTTTGTTCATCCCATGATGACTCTTGGGGCTCCAGGTCCCCGGGCTACTTCGAAGACCCATGTGACCCCTCCCTCCACTGTGCAGATTGGAGGTGAAATTTCTGCAAGGGTGGCTCCCAGAGATACTTAGCTACCTTCAGCTGGGTAGATAGACACTATATTGTGTGGGCTTCTTCCTTGAAGCACTTCTCACTGGCTGATTTGTATCAAAGCCAATCTTCCTTCAGCAGTCATTGGCCTTCAGTGACATCCTAGCTGTCCCTGTGTGAGCCACCTGCCAGAGCCTGCCTAGTCAATAGCAGAGCATTCCTGTTTTTGAATGGCTGTGGCAGCTGTACTCATAAGGCCACTAACCTCCCTGTGTTCAGGGGTGACACAACATGTGGGTGTTTAAAAGTACTGTTTTGTGTTAGTTGTTGTATTCTCTTAAATGCTGGCAGAGCAGTTGGATTTTTTATTCTCATTTTTTACCATGCTATATTCCTCGGTTCAAGATGTGAATTTAGTAGTAATTTTTAAATCTACCATTTTACAATCTGGCTTTTTATTTGCAAGTTGATTTATAATGTGTTTGAATAAACAGCTCAGATGTATAAATTTAATATTATTAATAAAATCTCAAGCACTTTAAGGTCTTTGTACCTATGGGTGGGTATTTTATTGAACTTGACTTTTATGAGGGCCAGTTTTGAATTTCTTTTTCCCCAGATCTGTGATTTGGGGAGGCTCCATTAAATACTAATAATAATCCTCCACTTGCAATTTTTATTGCAATAAGTTATATATCAGATAAAAATTACTCGTTTAACCTTTTTAACTGCAGCTCAGTGGCATTAAATACACTCGTTGTGCAACCGTCAGCATCATCAATCTCCAGAACTTTTTCATCACCCCAAATTGATAGTTGGTACTTACTAAACACTAACTCGCCATAGCCTTTTTCTATAGCCCCTTGAAACCACTATTCTACTTTCTGTCTCTCTGTTTATGAAGTAGACTCCTCGAGTTATGTTGTAAAGGTGGGATCAGCCTTTGTGTCTGGCTTATTTCACATAGCAGAATGTCGTCAAGGTTCACCCATATTTTAGCATGTACAGAATTTTATTCTTTATTAAGAACAAAATAGTCCATTGTGTGTATATGCATTTTGTGTATCCGTTCATCCATTGATGGACAGTTGGGTGCCTTCCACTTTTTGGGTGCTGTGAATAGTGTGGGTATGCATATGTCTTTTTGAATTTCCCCCGTTTGATTTTTTTGGGTGAAACTCAGGGAAAATTGCTAGATATTATGGTGATCCTGTTTCCCCCATTCACTTTTAAATTTTACTTTATCTGGACAGGTGTTTTTCATACAGATTTTGGGAAAATGCACAAACTGGGGAGACTTTGATATATGGAAAGCCCCTAGTTCGGGTATCAAGATGTAGCAGTAGCAGCTGTTGCACCAGTGCACTTTATGCTTTTGTCGTCCTCTTCCACTAGATGGGTATTTAATTATTTCCCCTGCAGGGTTCTGTACTACATCTAGCAACCTAAGATCCAGTTATTTTGCTATATGTAGGTTCCTTAATTTTGAGAAAGACCTCAGTTGTCTGTTAGTCAAGAATCACGGGTGCCAATGATCAAGGCTCGATGTCAGATGCTAGGGGAACATTGGTAACCAAAAGATACATAACGCTGCCCATGATATGCAAAAATTCTCCTCAAGAAGCAGGTCCTACCGTTAGATAACATAAGACTAAGTCAAAAATCATTTCTAGAGAGAGAGTTAGTTCAGATAAAAGACACAGAGTCTTCAGCATACAAAAGGGTGAAATGTGAATCCATCTAAAAATATTGATACAAAATATGTAAAGCTATGCTTGACAGAAATACAAGGACAAATAGACTCTAAGTCCACAATTCCAGTGGGAGATTTAAACGTCTTTCTCCCCTATTGTTTCTCTAAACAATAGAGAAAAATCAGGTAAAACATAGATTTGAAAATGAGCAAACTGCCTAATATATGTATACAGAATATCTGGTACTTGAAATCAGAAAGTGCTTGTCTGTGGAAGAGATGGAATGGACTAGAAGGGGCAAGAGGGCTTTTGGGGAAGATGAATATGTTATGTAGCTTGTTTAGGCTGATTACACAAGTGCGCAATTTTCAAGTCATTTACTGAACACTTAAGGTGTGTATTTGTGTGTTAATTGTATCACAATAAAAAAAAATCTATGCAGTTGCTACAAATCTAAACAAATTTGTTGGCCCCATCAGCACAAAGTCCCCCAGTTTGAGAATTGTAGTGTTAAATAAAATCTCAACTAGGAAATAGCTCTTTTTTTCTGTGACCACATGTGGTTTCAGGGTAACAAAGACAATGGTAGACAAAAGACACATAATGCTGCCACGACAAGCAAAAACTCTCCAAAAGAAAGCAGATCCTAGTGTCAGACAGCGTAGACTTTATGCATAGGATTTTAGGCCTCTCAATTATGGGGTCATTGTGAGGCTGTTTGGTTTATGGATAATGAACCATGGAACTTTCTGTGTTCGCCATTAGAATACCATTGTGTAGATTACCATTTAGGCTAGTCTTCTGTTTTTGATTTATTAAAGAGTGCGATTTATATTAAAGAAAAAGAATTGAGCTTTAAATCACATAAGGTTAAGAGATGTAAAATAAATGAACATGAAGGAAATCTGAAGAATAAATTAATACAAAGCAAAGCAAAGGAACTGATAATGTGCAAAGGTGTTTCTCTGAAGAGATACTTATCTGAAGAGAACAATAAAATACACAGATGTTGGATAAAGTCTGATTTGGCATTTCCCCTCTGAAAAGGGGATGGGGAGAGAGCAGACCTGTTTCATTTGAGTGTTCCCAATTAAGACTCTCTTGAAGTTGCCCATACTTGCAATGTATTCAGAGATTTTTTTGGTAAAAATCTTGACATTGTTTCTAATTTTTTGTGTTCAAAGTTGGAATAGCCAATGATTATTGTTTCCATTTTCTGCCATTATCTTCCCCAGAATATTTTTGCCAGTGTGGGTATATATAGGACTCCTTAATTTCCTTCCTTCCTGATTTTTCCCACATTGTTTTGGGCCTGATATATTAATCATTGGTTTATTATCTACCTACTTCCATAGGAATATTGGATCTTCAAGGCATCAGACGTTTTCTGTATACATTACTTATATTTTCTCACTTCCTAACACAGGGACAGAACTTAATTATTTGCTGAAAGGATAAAGGACAAACTAGAGATAAGAACTTTAAAGAAGATACAGGGCTCCATACACCTTCAAGGGAAAGTAAACTGTGTCAAATGAATACAATATTTCATTTTTCCACTCTTCTTATTGCCCAGCAGTAGTTTAGAAACATAAGGTGGGAGCACGCCCAGTGGCACAGTGGTTAAGCACACATGTTCTGCTTCCACGGCCCAGGGTTCACCGGTTCAGATCCCAGGTGTGGACATGGCACGGCTTGGCAAGCCATGCTGTGGTAGGGGTTCCACATATAGAGTAGAGGAAGATGGGCACGGATGTTAGCTCAGGGCCAGTCTTCCTCAGCAAAAAGAGGAGGATTGGCAGCAGATGTTAGCACAGGGCTAATCCTGAAGAAGGAAAAAAAAAAAGAAACATAACGTGTTTTCTAGAGTTTAAAAATTTTCTGTAACCACAATAAACCAAAAGAGAACTCAGGTCAACTTTAATAATAAATTTTCTTTAATGCAACATATCCAAAATATTTCAATATTGTAAGGA